CTCAACAAAAAATCGGCTGCTGATATTATGCGAAAGGGTAGAAACTTCAAATGTCATAAATAATATAAATAGTTAGAACAAGGGACATACGTGAAGAAAGAGATAGATAATCTAACTCGTACATTTTTACACTATACAAGCGCCGAATACATTCTAAAATGATTTAACAGATACTAATATGATTTAACAGATACTAATATGTCCCTCATTCCATTACACTGTGCTAATACTTGAATGAAATGAGGTAAACACAAATCATCACTTGTTTGTAAACTATTTCGGGTTTATCTTTTAAAGACCAGCTACTACCAAACCTCCAACACAGTAATAAGTAGTAATCTTTAAATCTTTGATGGTATATATGTACCATATCCAAAGCCAACTCTTCTTCTTATAAATCACCATGAAAGAAGAGAACTCATCGCCATTCTTTTCGTTTTGCACCGAAATTTTTCATTTTTTTTCATTCGCTGCGGATGTCGTCGTAATTGCAGAGCCAAAAAAAAATTTTCAGTTAATTTTATATGAGATTTGTATAATAAGAAGAAGAAGAAGATGAGGGCATCGCTAATGAGAAGTAACCAATTTAAGAGAACCCTGGCATATAGAAAGAGCCTTGTAATCACAAATACAATCGTTAGTGTTTTATAATTTGGAATACAACTTTATAAACACCTAAATATATTTTATTTTTTGCTTTCATTACATTAAGATGAGTCCCGAAGAACGTCAGGCTCTGTTTGCCAATGTTGTTGGGGTTGTAAGAGGCTCGTCAGCACTCGCTGCCCAGGATATCGATTTTTATAAAAGTCTAGATAAAAATATCAATGAGTCTGTATCAGACGTGACATCTGATCTGGTGTCCATGATTAACTCCGTGTTATCATCTATTGATGAACATTGCGAACCTTTAGATAACGATAAGGAATCCTTTAAGAACTCTTGGAGTGATATGGGTAATATAATAGATAATCTATTTGAGAAATCGGACCGTTCATTAGACATTCTAAACAAAAGATTGAGTGTCTCTGGAGATAAATTGAATGGTCCAAATATGCAATTCCTTGACCAATTCGGTGGGAATGAAGAAGGTGGGAAGGTTAAGATTGAAAAACCTCAACTAAATTTTAAAACTCCAATAGATAACAGTGAATCTCATCCATTCCACCCTCTTCTTAAGGAGAAACCTAATGCCTTGATACCATTAGAAGAATCTATCATCTTGGTTCCTGCTAAAGAAGATGAGCCCGAACATTATATACATCCATATGAATATGAGATTGACCATCAAGAATATAACCAGAATATATTAAAGATTGAAGAACCAATTCCTTCTACAAATTGGGATGAAACAGATGCTGTATGGGTGGATAATGTAGAAACGTTACAACAAATGATATCCGAATTAAAACATTTCAAAGAATTAGCTGTCGATTTGGAACATCATGATTATAGAAGTTATTACGGTATTGTATGTTTGATGCAAATCAGTACAAGAGAAAAAGATTATTTAGTAGATACCTTGAGTCTAAGAGAAGAATTACATATATTGAATGAAATTTTCACTGATCCTCAGGTTACAAAAGTATTACATGGTGCATTTATGGATATAATTTGGTTACAACGTGATTTAGGTCTATATATTGTGAGTTTATTTGATACATTCCATGCCTCTAAAGCTATGGGCTTACCAAGACATAGTCTTGCGTACCTATTAGAGAAATTTGCACATTTTAAGACATCAAAAAAATATCAATTATCAGATTGGAGGACAAGACCACTGTCTAAGGGAAAGACGGCATATGCAAGAGCTGATACCCATTTCTTACTAAACATATTTGATCAAGTGAAAAACAAACTGATAGAATCAAGTAAATTAGCTGGTGTTTTAAAAGATTCCAGAGAAGTTGCAAAGAGAAGATTTGAATATTCCAAATTTAGACCAACACATTTTTCTAATACTGTTTATTCTGTTACATCAGATCAATATCCATGGAAAAATATCATGTTTAAATATAATATTCCTAAAGACAAAGAATTATTGGTTAAGGAATTATACAATTGGAGAGATCTAATTGCTAGACGTGATGATGAATCTCCAAGATATGTTATGCCCAATCAAATTATTGCATCACTAGTTGCATACACGCCAACCGATGCAGTTGGAGTTGTCTCTGTTAATAATATGGTAACTGACTACGTAAGATCTAATTCTAAGATATTAGCTAACATGATTAAGGATTGCTTAGTGAAAATGAAAGAACAAGGCTCAATTTTGTCGGAGGGAAACATTTCTGTATCAGACAAAGTGAATTATAATAACAATGATAGTAACAACGTCAATAAAGTATCGACATCTCAAATACAATCATGGAATTGTATTTTTGATACTTTAGTGAATGATATTAACACGGTCACTCCAAAAGTGGCAAGTATCACAGATGAACTGCTAACAACCTCTAAATATTTTGGAGAATTATTAAATGATAAAGTAATTAAATATGGAGAACAAGATAATGGGGAAAAATCCGTAGTATCAAACAATGAATTAGAAGAACGTAGATCAGAATATAAAAAACAATTAAGTCAATTGGAAGACATTGATCTGGAGATACCTGTCACCAAGATTGAGCCTACTGTTGAGTTAAGATCAGAAATTTCTGAAGAGAAACCAAATGAAGTATCTGTTGAAAAGATGGAAGAGACATTAACACCAAGCGAAGATTTAGATGAAATTATAGTCCTCAGAAAGGTCAGGAGAGACAACAACAAATCTTCAGGAACAAAGGATAGAAATATCAATGATGATGAACTTGAGACTGTTGACTATAGTAAAAGTGCTAAATTATTGTCAAATGATACTACAAAGAGAAAGAGAAAGAATACCAAACGTAAATTTGATCCCTTCTCTTCTATCCAGGAAGGTCCAAAGGGTATTAAGAAGAGAAAAGCTGGAACTAGAGGTAAAAATGTATCGTTCAAGCGTTAAATCAGCATAATTGTACGTTGGTTGAAAAGCTTCTAGAGGAAGGGTAATTCAATTCTTATTTCTTCAGAGATGAAACATACATATATATATTTATATACATACATACATAATCCAAAAGTAATGGGTGGGTAGTCAGCATATATTAGTTTTTGTGTATTAATACATTAGAAATACATTTTCTTATATTATTATTATTTTTTACTTAACAACTACAAGAATTAGTATCATTATCCAGTTGAATATTTATAGCATCATTGAAATCATCTTCAAAGGCATCTGCATCATTCTGGTTTTGTTGTAAAGCACTACGTGCGATTTCTTGAAATGCTGTATCGACATTAATAGCCGTCTTTGCGCTAGTGAAAAACAATGGGATATTACCTAAGGATGCTGCTAAATCCTGAGCATCTTTATTACTAACTACTTTCTTGGAATCATCGGCATCAATCTTATTACCTAGTAAGACAAATGGGAAAGTTTCTGGAGATGAAACGTTAGCATGAACCAAAAATTCATCTCTCCATGATTTTATACTTTGAAAGGATTTTGTATTTGTTACGTCATATACCAGGACACAGCAATCTGCTCCTCTATAGAAAGCTACTCCGAGAGATTGGAATCTTTCCTGACCTGCTGTATCCCAAACTTGCATAGTGGCAACTTTATCACTATCTATATTGACTTCCTTTGTCAGGAAATCGGCGCCTATTGTTGCTTTGTATTGTTGAGAATATTTATCATTGACATATCTATGCATTAAAGAAGTTTTACCAACACCGGAATCACCTAGTATTATAACTTTTAGAATGTTCTTTTTTCTAGTTGACATACTTTTTGTTTGTTTATTTAATTATTTGCTACCTGACTATAACTTTTTATAATAGTTTGTAGATTATCCTCAAAATCGCAGTTGTTCTTGTTGCAAAAAAAGACAAAGTAGATCGATACAAGAAGATATTTTTTTGTTCTTCCGCTATCTATGTATTATTTTATGAATATTTGTATACCTGGTACGTTTACCTACCTTTTAAATTACTGATAGTGTATATAAAGTTTGCTACTAATTAAACTAGGTTTGTATATCTATATATTTTATCACGCATCATCATCATCATATTATCCATCGTTCTTTACAAATAAATAAAAAAGAGAACATTGTCAATTTTCTCCTTATGTGTAAAAGCAGCCAAAATTGCGAATTTAAGAGAGACAAAGAGCGCAAAATTGCGAACGCATTTTCTCTATATATATTGTATACATATTCTCGTTCCCCCGCCCAGAAAACACGCGACAATTGTTACATTAAATAAAAAAGGGTGATTTTTTATATATATTGATATAGAATTATTTATTCATTACATCATTAATTTAAGTAAAATTGATGATTTGAAAATTGTCATTTTTAGCTAAGGACAAATTTTTCCTCATTTGTCTCCTTCTACACAATTTAGCGTCTTCTGTTGATAATTGTTTCCCGAATGGTTGTAATTGAGGTGGGTTATGAACGCATTTTTGCATAAATGAACGCCAATTTGCGTTTTGTTCATCGATATATAATATTGGCCCATTAACTAATTGAACAATCTCCCCGCCATCAATCTGTTTATTCTGAATAGCTGAATCTGATTCTTTGGTGACCAATTGTTTGCTCTGTTTCCAATTGAACTGAATCCTTTTAAAAGATTTGAAGATATTATGACACTTCAGTTTAACATGTTGTTTAAATCCACGATATGAATGGTTCATGTATGATAGAAGTTGTAATTTAAAATCCGAAAACATCAGTAGATTTTAAAGTGTCTGAGGTTGATGTAGTATGCGAACTGTTACAGAACGTGCTCAAAATAAAGATCGTTGCCTTCTTATTCATTACTACTTGTTACAAGCTTCTTATTTTTTTTGTACTTTCACAAATAACAAACAAACGTTTTTACTTCAATGAAGATCTGAGGTCATCTCTGTGACGTTGTGACATTTCTTAGAAAAGAAAATATTCTTAGTAAATCAATTAGTCAATCGTTTTAGAATATAAATAAAAATATATATATATATATATATACAGTGAGTCACGTTTAAGGTTAATTACAGATGACTAAACAAACAACCGAATACCTATGGAATTATTCCATTAGGTAACAGTCATACCACCCATTTTCACAAAGACCAAGGTTCTCATAATGGAGTTTCTGTCTCGGTGTACGACTATTTACCACTAGATTCAATATATGCAGTATTACATGAAGCTCCATGCAGTCCTCTATTATATACCAAAAAGGACAACACCACGTTGGTAAACACTCTGCTCCAAGAATAATACGAATTTTCTATACTCCAGACAAGAATGCAACAGGACAGAAACACCAAGATTGCTTTAGTATTGTTGTTTCTTATCAGTAAACTGTGCCACGACTACCGAACTGTGACACCAGTCAGTTCAAACTTCCGTCCACGTACCTCGCACGTGTGAGAAGACATACCGACACAGAGACACAGCGCGACAGAAAATGGAAAGAAACAGTGCCACATTAACTATATACGAATATACAATAGCAAGAAGATGATCAAGTGGGCAACACCATGTATATAGAAAGGTTCAAGAGTTTCTCGGGATCAATAGCACATATTTTTTGAATAATCTCAGTCTCTGTAAGTTGTGGTTTGTATTTTTGGGAGAGATTATACATTGAACTAACCCTTCCATAGATAACAGATCCCGAGTCCACGTTTGAAAGTCCCAAAGAGGAATATAAGGAACACACACGAGGGATATATTAAACTGAAAAAGAGTCGAGGTTTCTTAAATATAAAAACATAGAAGACAATAGTTATAATGTTTCAAGTTTAGAAAGATGTTCGTTCTCAATGTAACATAACAATATCCCTTATTCTGATTCAGTGGCTTCCTCGTGGGTCCAGAAGAACATTCCAACAATTAACAGGTTGTTAATATATATATAAGAGTTAATGAATGCCACTAACTCTTAACTGTACGTTTTTATTTCCTTTTTCTGATCTTTCTAAGTTATAGAATAATTAATACAATAGTCTCAAAGAGTTTTTAAAAATATTGCAACATATAAATACAAAAATGTCTGACCTTGATGGTAAAGGTAATGTAATTGTCAACCAGGTAGAAGGACCGGAGGATGAATTTGACTCTCCTCTAGATGTTTTACCAAATACAGACTCTAGGTATATTACTTATGATGCAGAGGCTCGTGCTAATAGAGTATTAGCCACTAAGGATAAAAAATTTAAAAATATTATTACAATCATTGCTTCAGGATTTGCTTTAATTAGTGATGGATATGTTAATGGGTCCATGAGTATGTTGAACAAAGTATTTGCAATGGAATACGGTTCAAAAGTAAACTATACCTCTTTGGTTTCAACAAGGGTGTCAAATGCTTCTTTGGTTGGTATTATCTTTGGTCAATTTTTCATGGGTATTGCTGCTGATCATTACAGCAGAAGATCATGTATCTTGGTAGCAACAGTAATTTTGGTTGTAGGTAGTGCACTCTGTGCTGCCTCTCACGGTACAACTGTTCCTGGTATGTTTTGGATGCTTACAGTAATGAGAGGTTTAGTCGGTATTGGTGTCGGAGCTGAGTATCCAACAAGTACATTGAGTGCTAATGAATCTGCCAATGAATATACCACAAAGAGGAGAGGAGGTATCCTTGTATTGGTTACCAATTTCCCATTGGCCTTTGGTGGTCCTTTCTCAAGCATCATTTTCTTAATCGTTTTCAGAATTGTTAAAGGCACTAAACACCTTGAAGCTCTATGGAGAACTATTTTTGCTCTAGGTTGTTTTTGGCCTTTGACAGTTTTCTACTTCCGTTGGAAGACAGCTACCACTGAAATATATGAGAAAGGTAGAATTAAAAAACAAATTCCTTATTTCCTTGCGTTAAAATTTTATTGGAAAAGATTATTAGGTACATGTGGTACTTGGTTTATGTACGATTTCGTTACTTTCCCAAACGGTATCTTTTCTTCTACAATTATTGGAGCTGTAATTAAAGATAAAAATGATTTAGAAAAGATTGCAGAATGGAATTTATTATTGGGTGTCCTTTCATGCCTAGGTGTCCCCATAGGTGCATATCTTTCTGATCGTATTGGTCGTAAATATACACTAATGATCGGGTTTTCAGGTTATATTATCTTTGGTTTAATTATTGGTTGTGCTTATGAACAATTATCTAAGATTACACCATTATTTATAATCTTTTATGCTTTCATGAATATGTTAGGAAACGCTGGTCCTGGTGATATGTTAGGTGTGATTAGTAGCGAATCCTCAGCTACAGCAGTAAGAGGTGTCTTTTATGGTATTTCTGCTGTAACAGGGAAAATTGGTTCAGTTGTTGGCGTTGAGTGTTTTCAACCAATCAGAAACCATTTAGGAGCTAGATGGACATTTATTATTGCAGCAATTTGTGGTCTATTGGGTGTTTTGATCACATTTTTCTTGGTACCTCACTCTCTGGAGAGTGACTTAATGAAACAAGACGTAGAGTTCCACAACTACCTAGTGGCTCAAGGTTGGACAGGTAAGATGGGTTTTGATGAAGCTATCGAAACAAGTGAAGCTGGTTCTTTGGAAAGTAATATTGAGTGGGAGGCTGATATAAAGAAAAATAATGAGATAGTTTCTGTGAGACAGATAGAATCTTAGGGCTATTAATAGTTATCGTCCTTCTGCTTGATATTTACAGTTAATTATAAATATATTATAGAGTGTCTGAGATATAGGTTTCTACTCTAGTAGTCTCTTCAAGTTTTGTATTTTTTAACTTGGACATATTTGTAATACGATAATTGCTCGTTCTCTTTATACTATACATAGTTTGAATATGGTAGAACATTTAATGTTCTGTATAAATTATATCTATTTATGACTCATATCACCTGGTAACTCATATAAATAAATGTGCATAAAGGTATTTCTTTACCTATACTAAAAATAAATGTGGTGCATATTATGATGGGAAAATTGAATATTGGACATCTTCTATTTAACTGAACAAATTTTATTATATTATAAAATTAACTTATAGTCGTCTCATTTTTTATATCTTATACAAAAATATATAAAGTAAATTATGGAAACAATTATATTCATAAATGAAATATTGTTCCATTTATATATGTTGGATTATCATTGTCGTGATTATAAACTCACTCGACAGTGGCGTAAGTAATCTATTATTAAGTTGTTGCGGGATGAACCTATTGTTAGATCATTGCGGGATGAACCTATCGTTAGATCATTGCGGGATGAATCTATCAATAGATCATAACCTTGGTCATTATCCCTCTTATAATATATTTCCGACAATTATATCTTTTAATGGAGATTTAAAGAAATTGAAAGAAACTCGGCTAAATAATTAGAAATTTGAAATATCTTAAAATATTAAATATCTCCCTAACAGAGCAAAATCTTATTCCTCGTGGCCCAATGGTCACGGCGTCTGGCTACGAACCAGGAGATTCCAGGTTCGAGTCCTGGCGGGGAAGATTCTTTTTTGCAAGTTGTTACCATAATTAATGTTTGTTAAGTTCTACACAGTTCCAAGATGTAATCAGAATAGCTGTAGTTGGAATAGCTGTATAGTAAGAAATATTCTGTTAATTCTGTTATTTTTTTATTAATTTTATGGGTCTGAATATTTTATCACCCACATGGTCGTATTAGTATCGTTATTTGTACGGAATAATAAACTACACATCAGACAGTTCTAAGAATAACGTAAAGGTTAGACCAAATTTTCAATACTTTTGGAGTTACAATAGTAGTAGAAAATGCCATAAAAATGTAATTGACATAGTCATTACTTTTTTGAAAAAATTTTCGATCGATATATAATGGGCAGATCGTGAAAAGTGTTCAAAACTCAATTGTTATAACCTATTTCTCAAGGGAACAACATTCATTATTAAAATAAATCTAACAATATCTCTCGTCATTATCGAACTGAAGGTACATCTTTCTTATCACTTCTCAACATATCATAGCTTCTGTCACTAAATGACTATCACGTACACAGTGATAAACGTTCTTATTTCCGATTTTTCTGTGTGGAAACGGAGAAAAATTGAACCACACGATTCCACGTTGACAAGATAGAGGGAGGTACATGTCTAACATTAAGAAACTTTATTCATGACAGAAAATCGATATGTTAGGTGGCAAAGGTTTATTTAATATTACCTATTTTGAATAGTTATAATGTTATTTATACCTGAAGTAGATTTAATTCCTTGTCGTTTATAACAATACAATAAGAAATAACAAAAGAAAGATGTCCTATAGCAACAAAGAAATTTCTTCATTGATCGTTGATTTCCTAAACAACGCAATTTCTCAAAAGGTTATCTCTGATGACAATGCTGACTCCTTGAACGTCGCTATCGACTGTATCACCGAAGCATTTGAAGTCGATAGAGATGATGCTAAATCTATTATCGACACAAAATTTAACGGTAAATCTTTATCTGATATTCTAGCTTCTGGTGTTAACTTAACTGGTTCTGGTAACGCCCAAAATGTTAAGGTGAACATTCCAGCTGAAGATGCAGAGATCAAGGCAAAGGCTGAATCTATGAAATTAGAAGGTAACAAAGCTATGGCTGGTAGAGATTTCTCTTTGGCCATTCAAAAGTATAGTGAAGCTATCCAAACATTACCAACCAATGCTATCTACTATGCTAACAGAGCTGCTGCTCATTCTTCTCTAAAACAATATGATGAAGCTATCCAAGATTCTGAAGAAGCCATTAAGATCGATCCTGCTTATTCTAAGGGTTACTCCAGACTTGGTTTTGCTAAGTATGCTCAAGGGAAACCAGAGGAAGCGCTAGAGGCTTACAAACAAGTATTGGATATCGAAGGTGACAAAGCTAGTGACGTTATGAAGAGGGACTACGAAACTGCCAAGAAGAAGGTTGAACAATCTTTGAACCTAGAAAAGGCCACCCAAGTTGAGACATCTGAAAATAGAGATGCCAAGGAAACTGCCTCTGATAATTCAGAAGGTGCTGCTAACCCATTCGCTGGTGGTATGCCAGATATGGCTTCTATGCTAGGTGGTGGCCTAGGTGGTGGCCTAGGTGGTTTATTAAACAACCCACAATTAATGCAAGCAGCCCAACAAATGATGAGTGACCCAAATGCTATGCAAAAGGTTCAATCTATGATGCAAAATCCTGCTGTTAGACAAATGGCCGAGAATTTTACCGGTGGTAATGGTGGTATGCCAAACATGGACGATCTAATGAATAATCCAGCGATTAGAGATATGGCTGGTAGTCTGTTTGGTGGTGCCAACACAGGTAACCAGAGTCCTCCTAAAGAAGACGAGGATAAATAATGTGATATATAACAAATAGGTCTCTGTGTACATTTATGGATACGTATAACAAAATAAAAGCAATATCAATATAATCATTAATGAAATTAGTATATAAATAGAGTATATTATTATTCATCTTCATATGTCTCAATAAAATAAATAGAATCGAATCATATCTTATGAAATTTATTTTCGTATGCTTGATATTTTGTGGTTATCCATAATAGATTTTCACTAAGGTTGTATATATTGTCCTTTATGTTTCTCTCAACAAATCCAGTTTGCAAAAAAGGTTCTTTAAAGTTCATAAAATTGCTCAACTCTTCAGCCAATAGTTCATGACTATGCGTAATTTCAGTTCCCAATTTTTTCATTAATAATGATATATCATGACTGGTCCTTAAAAGCTTTTGTTCATTTTTTATCCTTTGACCCTCGAGAAAGTTTCCAAATACTCCACTATTAATACCTCCTGATACAGTTCGATTAGATTCAGATAAATTTAGTTCAGTGCCAGCCGACTGTGGCGTACTTTTCATTAACATCTTATTAATTTCCAACAATTCTCCATAATGTTTCCACCATTTAAGTATCTGGTGATCTAATAAATGTTCAATGCTTTTATACAATACATTGATGCAGTTTTTATAAAACTCCAAATTGGTCAAAGTAGGGTTTACTGATATATCATTAATATCACTCACAACTTCAATCTTATTGACGTCTGAAATTGTTCTCAGTTGTTTCCGAATGGTGTGAGTACCCAAATCGTGTACAATATGCTTTATGATATCCAAAGATGTGTTGCAATCATCGCTTTTTAAGTTTCGAAATATCAGAAGTTTCTCTAATGTAAATATGGCTTTTTTTAATTTTGTAAGCTCCTGGAGATTGAATTTTAAGAAATGCTTAATAGCATTTATTCCTTCGGGTTCCAGTCCTATAGTCTTCTCTGATTTATGATTTATGTTCAATTCATCTTTACACTGTTTTATCCACAGTAAAGTGCTAGCATCACTCTGAAAAATCTCTTCAGGAATATATTCCAGCTCTATCAATGTATCGAGACAATTTGTCATGTTTGATAACAAATATTCTCGATTTTGAAGTCTATGAAAAGTAGTTATATTATCTATGAGCCAAGTATTAGTTGACATATTTAATAACACATTTATTTCGTTTAATAAGTTTTCTATTGGAACAAATGTCAAAGGTTTCTTTTTTAAGATGAGTTTAAAAATATTTTTTAGAACCTTTACGTTCAGCGCAATATTAGATATATTACCTTCCTTATTTAACACTGAAATCTGTAAAGAACATGACTGGATTGAACCACCTATTGTCTGGTTAGAATATATTCTTAATGAATGACATATGCAGTGATGGAATACAGATGTATTTTTTATATGATATTTAGTAAACATTTCCAATATTTCTGGATTTCTCATATATTCGTAACATGTCAAATACTTTTTTGTGTCATATTGGTTGAGACAATTAAGTCTTTTATCATTTAATATATTTTTAACATTATCAAGTCTGTCATATTTTAGATATATCATCAATGGTGTTAAACCTTTTCTATTCTTCTGGTTAATGTTTATTAAGATTTTCGAGTCTAACAGGAGTTTCACATCTGTTTTTATTATATGAAGTAAAGTATTACCATTCGGATCAGTGTGATCATTGTAGATATACCCATACTGCGACTGTTCTGCTACCCTAAGTGCTCCTGCTATCATTTCGGAGTAATTAACTTGGTCATAAGATCGGAAAATTGTGAACAGGGGAGTCTTCCCGGTAGCATCCTTAAGACTCCAATTAATATATTTGCCTATTTTCTCTACAAGACTACTTTGGTCTGAAAGATGATGTCCCACTGTTCTCTGCGCATTATTTCGTTTGTTTAAGTATAACTTTATCTCATATGTCGTACAATTATCCAATAAGAGGTTTAATAATAATGCAGTTGCCTCATAGTTACCATACTTAAGAGCCTGAAGTAGCAACGTATCACCTTCAATATTTTCATCCTCCAATAGATCATCCAAAGTGATCTCAGTTTGGAAACTATCTAATAACTGTTCCAGTATAGTATTCTTAGAATTACAGATACAGAGGCTTATTATCGATTCCCCCTTTTCTGTTCTGTATTTTAAAACATCTCTATAGTCATCCAAGTTAAATGTCATTTTAGAACTTTTCTCCATTTTAATGACTTCAAGCAACTCTTTTATTTTCTTTTCGTGAATCTCCTTCAGGTGTAAAAATTTTTCATTATTCATATCTTCTAAATAAAAAGCGACTGCCTCCAATGTAGAAATAGAATAACCTAAGATTCCAAACTTGGTGGGGTTAGATCCATCATCGCTGTAATAAAAATTCTGCAAATATTGAATATGACATCTTAAATGTTTTGTCTGAGTCTTATTAATCACCAAAACAAGTAAACTCAATAGAGTATCGGCGTCAATTGGAATATCTTCTAGGGGTGTCGATAAAGTTTGCAATGTTCGTGTTAATATTTTTGTCTTTTCAAAGAATGTATTGGTTTTTTTGAAATGTGCAAACATCTCAATTGCTTGATTTATATTTTTTTCTAACTTCACAATAAGTGATAATTTAAATTTTTGAAAATCAGATGTATACAGATCTGTGTCTAGTTGATCAATGGATAGATAGTCTAAACTATAAAATACCTCAGACAACTCAGACAACTCAGATTTCTCAGTTCCATCAAGAACCTGCAATTCATTCCATATGGCACTATATAGTTTTTCTTCCATGTAATCTCGTACCACTCTAGGGAGGTCAGAACCAATAAGTTTAAACAAAATTTCATTTTTGGTCATACTAATAGAATGGTTCACCATTATTTGAAATTTATCAGACAATGCACCCAGATTATTTGTGGAATTTTCATTCTCAGTGGCACTAATATCAGATAAAAATTGTTCAAATGCAGTCTTAAAATACTGTACCCATCGTTGATTTGAATGAACAATTTTTTCAAAAGTGGCCCTATTATGCTGGGATATATCCTGACTTAAAGTGTTTATTTTTTTATTGTTATTATCTGATTTGTTGCCTTTCATCGTTTCGATGGATTGAGATTTTATTAAATAGGAATCATCTGGTATTATTCTTTTTGGGTCAATCAGGGGTTGATCAATGAATATCACTGTATAATATCTATCAGGGAAATAATCATTAAAATTGGTGAAAGTAATCACTTTTAAAATCTTAAATCGTTTATCCATGTGTGAATCGTTGACCACATATAATGATTTCTTACCAAAGTTTATACTTAAGGAAATGTTACTCAACGTTTCAAACTCATATTTGACTTCATTAGTATGTATTAAAGGATTCATTGTCTTATATTTTTGATCTAATTGGATGATATGCGAAGATAAAAAGGGAACATCATAATGACAAAGATCAGAAAATTTTGTATCTGAATGAGCATCCTTGAAGTTATATAAAGTGTATGATTGTGGTACTATTAATGCAAATTTCTGGGAATCCTGTTGAGTGATCTTTTTAAAGATCTTTTTAAGTGGGGAAGAAGAGGGATCAGGACAATTGAATATGGAATTTAGGAGAGGATTAAGAAGCACAGGTAGATGCGATCTAGTTTGGGTACCCGACTCATTTATATTCGTTAATGTGGATGTATTAAGCGAATCTTGTGACATAATAAGTTCATCTGGCGGAAGTACCGTCTAATAGCAAGTCAAAGAGGTGAAACCAAATAGTAATTTGAACAAAGTCTTTTATAAAGGATCCGATTAACTAAACTTAAATAATGCAACAACTGACAGTCCACATAAGATAGTTTTGTTATTGTATATTAAAAGTTTCTATTACACATAAACATCGGTAATTATAATTTGACATGGCCCTATTTCTATAATTCTTAATGTGATGAGCCGAAATTCGCAATGGCTGTAATGAAAAATTTATTGAGAAGTAATATAAATATATATTGAGAAACTCATCAATTGATTTATATAAAAATAATAGTCTTAGAGTTGCCTGTATACATTTTTTGAAAAATATTTACTTAGTGATACATTACGTTAGGATCAAGTGCTAACATATTAGTTCATATTTAGTATAACAGCGAAGTTTAGTGGAGAGATGGCCAAAGGTAAAAACAAGACGAAAGAAGGAGGGGCGACCAGATCCAATAACTCCAGAGGTTCGAATGGGCATCATTCAAAGCAAAACCATAAATCTGCTGAGTTTAAGCACAACCAGACTCATACAACTAACAAGTTTCCAACTAAGCTAGCAATGTGGGATTTTGACCATTGTGATCCAAAGCGTTGCAGTGGTAAGAAACTAGAACGTTTAGGACTAATCACATCTCTTCGTGTTGGTCAGAAGTTTCAAGGTATTGTTGTTTCCCCTAATGGGAAAGGTGTTGTATGCCCAGATGATCTACCAATTGTTGAGGAGTTTGGAGCTTCTGTTGTCGAATGTTCGTGGGCTCGTTTAGATGAAGTTCCGTTTAATAAAATTGGTGGGAAACATGAGAGATTGTTGCCCTATTTAGTTGCAGCAAACCAAGTCAATTATGGTAGACCTTGGAGATTGAACTGTGTAGAGGCTCTGGCGGCATGTTTTGCCATTGTTGGAAGAATGGATTGGGCATCTCAATTACTAAGTAATTTTTCTTGGGGGTTGGCATTCCTAGATATTAATGCTGAATTACTAGAGATATATCAAAAGTGTACAGATGCCGATTCTGTGAAAAGGGCAGAAGAAGAATGGCTAGAAAAGATTGAACAAGAATCTCAGGATCGTAAGAAGCAATCCCAGGAGACTGATTTGTGGCTAATGGGGAACATTAACAAGATGAACAAGCTTGATATAGACGATAGCGAAGATGAAGAAGACTCCTCATCAGAAGAAGATTATACCGAAAGTACTGATAACGTTAGATATGATGCATTGGGAAATCTTATAGAAGAAGAAGAAGAAGAAGAAGAAGAAGTGAAATATGATTCTTTAGGAAATGCCATTGAGGAAAAAGAAGAAGAAGAAGAAGAAGAGGAAAAGGAAGTGAAATATGATTCTCTGGGGAACATAATAGAATAGTGGAATCATGAAGATGTGATAAACGTCTTCCAAATGCATAGAATATTGTAATTTAAATATATTGAAAAATAACATTAATAAATAGATTTGAGTCAAACGTTGATTACCCGGGGTTCTCTGAAATTTTTTAGCGGCGCTATAAGCTCGTACGAACCTGATATGGGCAATGGTTAATAGTTAAGATGTTAATATATTTACATATAAATATCAAGAGAATGAACTAGGACGGCATGTTCAACCATTATCTATGGCTATATATGTGCAAGTCTAATAATGGATAGACAATTCAAAGGGTTCGAACCTATTCATACTGTTTTTTACTCTAATTTCCATCCTACTGAGGGTTCTAAAGTTTGCTATCAGTTCCCACCAAATAACTTACAAAACTATAATATTAACTTCAATTCAGTTAAAAACTATATTATACCGAAACCTCAATTATGTCACAAATTGTTGACTATGAAATATGAAAACTACCGGATCGTATCTTACCCAGTCACTGTCAATTCACAATCGTATGCAAGAAACTTCTTTAGTTTTAATTTTGTATTTATATTCCCTTACGACTGTGAAACTTCACCATACGAACCAGCTATTGCAAGATTGGCTAAAATGTTTCGTGTCCTAGAAGAACAAAACCAAATCTTATCATTGGCAGAAAATGACCCAATATTCTTCAAGGATCCCTCTACATTATCAAGTAAACCAGATTCAAATTTCTCGATTCAGGATCTTATAATGAGAATATATCAAGATCTTAACAGCTATTCAGAATGTTTAATCCCGATTAATGATGCCAATACTGTAGACATTAAACTTTTTCCTCTAGTTCCACCGCCAACCGCAATTCAGCTATCAGTAGATGCTGTTCCAATATCTGTGGTGAATATGAACAAAGTTATAGATTTAAATTGGGATCCAACAATGCTTAACATTCTACCATTTATTGATGGGCTTAATAGTATTTCAAATATCTCAAAACTAAGTGATAGTGACTCAAATTTAGTAATTGAATGTATTAGACATCTGATCTATTATAAATGTGTCATAATAACTGACATTTTCCAGTTTTCCAATATATATGCTCCAACAAATCAGATCACCACTTTCTTATCCGATCCTAAACTATCTTATGATTGCCAGCTATATGTAACTTTACCAAAAAATGCAGATATTTTAAAACTCCCATTTAATGAATTGCCAATTTCAAATAGTAACAGTAATCTTACCTCTACAACAAACCTAGCCAGAGGTGGCACACCATATCACAAAAAAACCAATTCCATGTCGTCCCAAAACTCTACAGCCAATAGGCTGTTTATGTCTCCTGGACGATCGTCCATAACCTCATCCCCAGTCTCGTCATTATACCCAAATAGGAAACACTCTGAGAGTTCCCTATCAAGTGATGGTCAATTTTTCAGGTCATCTGATAAATATAATTATTTACCAACAAGATCAACCTTATTTGATCTATACAGGTCATTAAACCATGCTATTACAATACAGACGTGGTATGAAATAAATTATGACATAATTAATACAAACAATATTGATATTAGAAGATTGATTAAATTTGGAATAACGAAACGACTGATATATAGAGTGTACTCTTACCCTATTATGTCTGATAATAAGTTAAAAGACACGAGAATTCTTAAAAAAGATAATAAAGACAGCAAGAAAGACTTTCTATTATCAACTTCTGATATTAAATTTGATGTCGGAGATAAGCTATTAAATTCGATTTACAAAAAACTATCCAAAGTATCATTTGATAGCACAAGCCCTTCTCATGATATGTTAGGAAGTGCAACAAGTGTAGATAAAACAGAAACAAAAGGTAAATACACTTTAAGTGATACTGAAAGGGAAATGTTAGTTGAGGCATTGGATAACTTTGAATCGTTTGACAAAATATGTGTCAGGCTAGGGAAACCTAGAGCTGAAGTTGAATTATTACTTCGAGAGATTGGCGAATACAAAATAATAAATATTTAAGATATTCTTTTAAAAAACAGTATGAATGATAACGATAAAGCAAATAGTTAATATATATGCTTAAACAAATCATTTCAACTGCATATGCGAATGTGCTATATAACGTTACATGCTGATCAATATTACATTAAATTAAAGGCATATATTTATTTTTACATTCTACTTTTGTAATTTGATATATCCATCTATATTATTCCTGGAAAGCCTTCTTTTTTTCGTGTTATTATTATTAGATTCAACCTCACTAAAATCGAGGTTATTTGATGAAACTTTGAGGGGGCTCTTAGAACCCGAGTCCATCTTTGTTGAATTGTCCTTTAAGAATATATTTTGTTCCACAACCCTGGTTGTCGTCTCTGGTTCTATATCATGTAGTATTGTCCTTATTGATTTATCTAACCCATTAATTTCATTTATGGAATGTTTTGCCAAAATATGTGTCTCATCAAAACGAGATTTTAGTGTACTGGTCTTTGTCACTATCTGTTTTATATTATCATTAATAGTTGTGTTTTCGGTGATAATATTGCGCCTTTCATTCCGTTCTTGATCACTAAACCTGTCGTTTATTTTAATTACAGATTCCTTTATCTTTTCATTGGAAACATTTATATTACTCTTAGTAGAATGCAGGGTATTGTTCATATTATTGAAATAAGTGTTACTTAGAGAATCACATTTATTAATTAATTCAATGGAAGATTCCCATTTTTGTTGTCGTGGCTTCAATAACTTCATTTCTTGCTCAATAATATCATTCGTGCTCCTTTGCATAGAATCGACTAGTAATTGTTTATTGGAAATTAAATAATTTTCTACCATTTCCTTAACATTTTCCATCAAATTAGATGAAGATTGTTCCATTAGTTCGGTCGTTTTATTAACATAATTTCCAAGTCTCTCTTCATGGTTATTTTGAAATAGTCTATCATTTAGATATTGTTTTAGGTTATTATATTCTTCAGAAATATCTGATAAATTTTCTGAAATTTGTTTGTAAAAATGTATAGACAATGAATTTATGTTCGTCACATTACCTTCAATCTCTTTAAACAATTCAGGAGTTTCTTTTAAAAATTCTCCAATACAAGATTGATAAGAGTCTCTAATATTTGTCTCTAATATGGTCAAAGAAGAAGAGATTTCTTTTTGTAAATCATCAATATGTGGTTGAACTTCAAAGGATTCATCATCATAAGCTTGTAATTCGTGTAATTGATTCAAAAATTTCTCTTTTAGTATCTTTAGTTGATCATTTAGAATCAATTTGAATTTAGAATCAATAGATAATTCCTTTTGTTTGAATGTCTTAATATCGTCCTTCAATGATGTTGTCGTTTCATCTAATTGGACTATCTGGTTGCTTAATTGTCTTTCGGTTTCTGATGATATCATAATCTTCTTTTGTAAATCATTTATTGAGTTATTAAGTGAATCTGTCTTGATATTTTGCAAATCTAAAGATTTGGTCAATCTTTGTTTTTCTTCAGTAAGTCCATTAACTTTTTCATTTAATGATTTAACCAACCTCTTTGCTTCATCTAATTCAGTCTTATAATTTTCCATATCATGATTCATTTCTTTATAATGTTCTTGAGACATAAATATACCATCCTTTGCCTTCGTGGATAAAAGATCATTTTTCAATTTTGCTAATTCTGTGGTGACATTTTTCAAGAGGATATCCTTCATAACGAAAGAACCTAATTGAGGTTTATTTTTAATATTTTTAGCTTTTGAAGCATACTCTAATGTACTACATGTTTCATCTGATGTAACTTTCGCTGGAGAAATTGTAGCTATTAAGGCTGTCTTCGTATTACCACCAAGAGAATCCTGCAATAAACGAGTTAATTTAGATTCACGAAACGGTACATGCGAACTCTTATCTGCAAGAGCGTTAATTACTCTTCCTAAAGTCAATAAACTTTGATTTATGGAACCTGCTTCTTTAGCTCTTTGATTTAAAGCACCAGAACGACTAATATTTTCCGAACCAGCTAAATCTACTAGGTTCATCTTCGAGAGACGAAACAATTCACCCTGATGTTGTTTATATAGAGTGATGGTAAATATAGTATGCGATCGACTTGAAAAATCGTTCATCTTTGTTGTCGCGACTTGCCTATGATTTAAACCTTTCTGCAAGAGAGCTAAACCTTCATTTGCTGATGTAATATGAAATTCTTGTAAATTCTGGATATAAATTGTATTGTTATCATTTGGTCCAGGTGAGGGCTGAGGAGAATTCGAAGTACCAGTAGTGGTAGATGTTGATGGTTGCATTGAAGTTCGTCTTAATTTATAATTATATTTTTTAGCATTATTTCTTTGACTTAGTTTTGGCGAATTATTTCTACTATCAGGTGTTGAATCGAAGATTCTTAATTTTTTATATTGTTCATTCCCATCATTATCTAACAAATCTTTTAATTCTTCATTATATAATTCAATAAAGGAACATTTAACAATATGATCCAAATTTTGTTCTTTTAAAGTATCAAACAATTGGAACATAATTCTCGGTATAATGCCCGCATTTTCTCTTAGGGAATCATTACCATCCAATTGTTCATCACCAGTCATTGTATAAGTTTTCCCTGTAGAGGTCATCCCATAGACTAGCATTGTACAATTATAACCTTGTATAAATTCATGGAATAAAGGTTGTGCCACTTCTGCAAACAATAAGGCCTGACTAGCACTCGGTCCAAATACTTTATCTACAGTATATCGTTTACTATTTAATTGAGCTGCTATTCCGACGTCACCTGTAGTATTAATGATGACTTCGTTTGCTCCTGAGACAGTTGGTACAGTCACTACTATACTACTCTTTTGAGCCACTTCACGCTGATTTCGACCACGACATCGTACGGCAACTGTGATGTTAAGATCCCGAGACATATCTTATGGATCTAACTTTTGATTTGTTGTAGTTGTTCTCTATATATATATATATATTTTATAATTATATATGTATTTATATGTATTATTTTTATTTATTTATTTGTTTATTATTCGTAATCTTGTTTTTATTGATTTATTTATTTTTGTTAGAGACAGAAAGAGAGAGAAAAAAAAATTCCTTTGTGTGAATGCGTAAAGTACAGTAAAAAAACGCGTGAAATGGAAAAAAACACCAACAACAACAATAAAGGTGAAATGATATATACATAGATATATCTAAAGGAATAATAGTAATTTAATGATTATTTTGCAAAAGAAACTTAAAGTGGAACAAGTACTAGTAAGAAAAAAAAATTGTCGATGTTCAGGTATAGATGTAAGGAGGGGGAGGTCATAAAATTGTAAGAGTTTTTAGATTAGCAAAATAAGTTGATGTTATTTAATTAATTATTCCAGAAACCTGATAAATCACCTCCAGCACCATTATAAATCAGTTTATTTGGAGTATCGGCGGAGATATCGTTTAAGATATTCTTGGTAGAGTAATCGATCAATTTTTGTTTTAATTGTTCAGGTGTAATAGTTTGTTGAGAGTAAAAAGAACTTGATTTTTCTGGTTGTAAAGATAAGAAATAAGTCAATAACCCTGCAACATGAGGTGAAGCCATCGAAGTACCTGACAAAGTGGCGGTAACGTCGTTAGAGTCACCGATGTAGGTGGACAAAATGTTTAAACCTGGTGCAAAGATATCGACACATTTCCCCCAGTTTGAGAAATAAGCTCTATCGTCACTTAGAGTCGAAGCCCCTACAGTGATCGCATTTTCGGCAGATGCAGGAGATGTATTACAAGCATCTTGATTTTCATTACCTGCAGCAACTGCAAAATGTAGGCCTGCCTTAACAGCAGCATTAACAGCAAGATCTAAAGAAGGTGATTTCCCACCTCCTAAAGACATGTTAGCAGTAGAACCTTTAAAATTCTTATCTTTAGCTTTACGTTCGGTATGCATCTTGGCCGCGTATTCTACACCTTTCAAAACATCAGACATGGAACCTGACCCATTTGATCTTAAGACTTTAATAGCGAACAAATTAGCGTGTTTGGCTACACCGTATTTCTTGGAAGCAATCGTCCCTGCACAATGAGTTCCGTGACCATTACCATCGACATCTTCATCATTTAGTGGGATGGTTTTACCCCAAGTAGCACGACCTTCGAATTCGTTATGGTTAATATTAATACCTGTATCAATGACATAAGCGTCGACGCCTTCACCTGCTTTATCATCGTATAAATATTTATTGAAATTAGCCAAGTTCAAAGATTCTCTATGGGAGATACGAGCTAAACCCCAAGGAGCGTTATTTTCAGTATTAAAATCAGTGGCGTAAACCATAGAGTCTTGTTCCACAAATGCCACCAAAGGGTTATTTCTTACTAAGTCTAAGATAACTGGGGGTAAAACAGCAGTATAACCGGATAAAAGAGACCCGATGTCAAAAGTAGCAAAATCGTGGTCCACAATGGATTCGGTGGTGATTGCTAGTTCTTGAATAACTGCTTGTTGAATATTTTCCAGATGGAACTGGATTTGTTGGGGAGTGATGGAGTCCTTGAAGACAATAATATATTTATCTTTAATAGCGGGATGAGTACCAGGGTTAGAAGGGACATATAAGGGCGCCATCTCCTTTTCCTCCTTGGCAGAAGCAGCGTGAGCAGAAGCAGCAACAGCAGCAGCGTGAGCAGAACCGTCTTGTTCTTTCAAATGAGGAGTAATAGAATCGGAGAGGGCACTCAACAAGGCCGGGAACTGTTCCTGGAACAGTTCTGGTAAGACCAATGCACGGACTGCATCTTGGGAGAGTAGGGATAGTAATAGGAGTAAGTTGTTCACCTTCATGTCAAGCTGTATACGAGAGTGAGGGTAGCGTGTGTTGTATATATATATATATATTTATATATATATATATATGTAAATATATAGACAGGGAAGAGAGAAAGTGATAAAGACAAATCTATCTGGTGTGTGTGTGTTGGCTATTTATATAAAATAAGAAAATAAAATCGGATAGGATGGGTAGAACTTACCTTCTGGTAACCGCTCTAAACGGCAGTCATCCAAAGAAATACAATAAAACAAAAAGAGATGATAGATAAGACAAAGCGGGGGTGCGGTGCAGTTCGGGCGGTGAGGAGCAGTGCGGTGGTTGAGGAATCGTTGATACGTGCACAACAGAGCGTGCTGGGTGCCCGCGGTGTGGTGGCTGGGTGCACCCCTAAAGTCACGATATCGATAGCCAGGGCCGGTTACCCTCAACACGGCAAAACTGTGTGGCAGAGCAGGCAGAGCAGGCAGCGGCAGTGCAGCGGCAGCGGCAACGGCAGAACTCCGACCGCAGCAGCACCAGTTGGAGTGGCGTCGGAGCCTCGCTGTCTCCTGCCGTTTACAACCTGCCATGCCATGCCACGCCACGCCACGCCACACCACGTCACGTGGCGCCTAGTTGGTCGTCTCGTCGGTCACCTCGATCCGCAGCTTGCCGTTGAGACACTCCCTGAACAGTCTCCTGAACGGCGTGCATTCGTACTTCGTCGCGGTCGTTGGCGACGAAGTATCCGCGACCACTTCACACTCGTATTGGACCAACTCCTTCAACGGACACTCGTCCAGGTTAAGAACACCTCTCTTTTGGGCAGCTTCTCCAACGTCGTCCTTATTCAATATCTTAACAACTGGGGCCATTGTGCACTGGTCTGGCTTGTATGTGCTGTTGTTATTTGCTTTATGTACAAGTATGCGAGTGTTTATATCTGTCTGGTCTCGTTTTTTGCTTTTCTTAAGCATTTCGAGGATGTCGCGTATTTTTTTTACCACCCCCTCAGCATAAATTTTATGAAGCTTTTGAAATTTTATACACACACATATAACTAAATGGCACTGCTACTATACATTATATCCACTCCCCATGACAGCACACCAAGCCACCGAAATGCAATTGCAACTGCTCGAATCGTTGCACACTCAGGTTTGTAAAACTAAAAACTATTCTTATACCTATGGTACTGCGGGGTTTAGAGATAAAGCGGCAGTTCTAGATACTGTAATGTTTACCACTGGGATAATCGCCGCTTTAAGATCTATGTCTCACAATGGGAAAGCCGTCGGGGTAATGATCACTGCTTCCCATAATCCACCGCTGGATAACGGTGTCAAGATCATCGAACCCGATGGTTCGATGCTTTTACAATCATGGGAATCACACGCAACGCAATTGGCGAATATTGCAGCTAATGATACTGTCACTCAATTGATTCAATATATCAATGAAATCGTTGCAACTTTAAACATCGATTCAAATGTGACGCCGTCAATTGTGGTCGGAATGGACTCTAGAGAATCTTCTCCAAGATTAATGGATTGCTTATTATCAACTTTATCACCGGTCTTTATGGCAAAGATTGTTAATCATAATATGCTAACTACTCCGCAATTACATTTCTTAACCGCATATCAAAATAATCATGAACCATCTTCAGATGATAAGACTGTGATCTCTGTTAGTCAATACGATTCAAAGTTCCAAACCGCGTTCAAAGACCTGATGAATCTATATGAGATCAAGGATTTCAATGATTGTTTTGAATCTTTAGTGGTAGATTGCGCCAATGGGATAGGGGCACCCCAATTCCAACAATTCGTTAAGGGCTTACCTCAATGTAATTCAATCAAATTCGTGAATGATGATTATACTCATCCAGATACCTTAAATAATTCATGTGGCGCTGATTTTGTGAAGACTCAACAAAGGCTACCTGCAGGCGTCGACGATTCTCTTTTAAATGATAACAATCTGTATTGTTCCTTCGATGGTGATGCCGATAGAATTGTCTTTTATTATGTCGGTAATAAAACTACCAAGTTTCATTTATTAGATGGTGATAAAATCGCAACTTTATTTGCCAAATTCCTAAAAAAATTATTGATTAAAGCAAATTTGACTCAAGATGATATTAGATTAGGAATCGTCCAGACTGCTTACGCTAATGGTAGTTCCACCACTTATGTTCTGGACACTTTACATTGTCCTGCATCCTGTACGAAGACTGGTGTCAAACATTTACATCATGAAGCTCAAACTGCTTATGACATAGGGATTTATTTCGAGGCCAATGGTCATGGTACTATCTTATTCTCGGATAATTTTTACTCGAAAGTTCAAGAACGTCAAACAATTGCCATTAAAGAAAATGACCTAAGTTCCTTAAAGGCATCCAAGACTCTATTAGCATTCTCAAAGGTGATCAATCAAACCGTCGGAGATGCAATTGCAGATCTGCTAGGGGTCGTCGCTACATTATTAATCTCAAAAATGAAACCTTCTCAATGGGATAATGAATATACGGATTTACCAAACTTGTTAAGTAAAGTGATCGTTCCGGATAGAACCGTGTTCAAGACAACAGATCAAGAACGTAAATTGACTAGCCCCCCTGCGTTGCAACCAAAGATGGATCTCTTGATTAATAAGATTGAACAAGGAAGAGCATTTGTAAGAGCATCAGGCACAGAAGACGCTGTCAGGGTTTATTGTGAGGGGAAGCACGCGGATGATGTTAAACAACTTTCCAAGGATATTGAGGCTTTAATAATGTCTGAAGTTAACTGAGAAATCTCTCTTTTTTATTAAAACCCCCCGCCAAATAAAACAGACCTATTCTAATGAATCAGTCTTAGTCGTGTCGGTCTCATTGCATTTATATATTTAATTATTTCTGACTCTCTCTATATATGTAACAACAATTACCATTTATTCGAGGGCTTCGTGTATAGCGAGCTGGAGCCGAAAAAAATAAATAATAACTACGAATTTCGATGTACGTGAAAGAGAGAGAGAGAGAGAACATCGAGATTCATCCAGTAGCAACTAAATTAATCATTTTAAATTCGATGAGATCATTTAAACTTATTGTTATTTCCGAGAAATAACTATTTTATTTCAATTTCTTCCTCACAGTAGCTCTTGAATCGATATCGACAAGGATACTTATTGATAAGATGTCTAAAGTTAACAGAGATCTGTTCTATAAATTAGCCTCTGAGCTACCAGAGGAGCGTGTTCAAGCGGCTGTATTGATTATCAAAGAATTATCGGAATTAGAACTACCTGAAGCTGACACTGAATGGAAATATGTATTGAATAGATTAATCACGGGTTTATCTTCAGATAGAAATGGTGCTCGTCTAGGGTTTTCATTATGTTTAACCGAAGTAGTGAATCTAGCTATTGAATTGAGCAAAGATGGAAAGAAACCTGTACCAGAATGTTTACCAAATATTGAAGAATTTTTAAACTTGGTGTCGAAGACTTTGTCATTAGAAGCTGATAAAAGTAATAAGAAAAGAAAAGGTAAAGAAGAAAGAGGTCTTTTGTTCGGGAAATTATTTGGATTACAATGTCTATTGAATGAACCTCTTTTCAGTGGAATATTCTTTGAAAATAAATCTGTCTCTAAATTTAGTACTACTTTTATGGAAGAATTATTAACTTTGTCTCAGTATAAAAATTGGATTAGAGAACCCTGTTTATATACTCTTTTCCAAACTATCACTAAATTAATCCCATTCGCAAATGAAGAGTTTATTATATCAGTTATCCAATTACTAGATACTTATAAATTGACCTTAACGAACGAAGGTCTAGCCATTTATTTATCTATCCTACACAATGACAAACACTTCAATTTAAGCAACATTACTTTAAAAAATAATGGTTGGAAGAATAATGATCCATTAGCTAGAGGTAATTTACCTGTATTAACTGATGTATTGCGTCAATCTTCGGTTTCTGATGATGAAAGGAATAACGTAAAACAAGCCAACTGGACTCCAAGATTACATTTTGTTTGGAAGGTTCTTCTACCAATAATTTGTGTAGCACCTGAGGCTAACGGAGAACATATTAATAAAAAGAGAAAGAAAGAAAAGGAAACTATTAAATTTGCAGAGTTTTGGCAAATGGCTGTAGATGAATCTTTTTTCAATGAAAAATCATCTAGCGAAAGAAAATTCTTGGGGTTTTTAATATTTGAAAAGACGATTTCATTAGTGGATGCTCATTGGATTTCCTCTATTTTTAGCCAAAATTTTATGAGATCATTAATTAATCAATCAACTGATTCAAAACGTCTATTACACAAGATCTCTCAAAAATCTTTGAATGTTATTGTGGATTCCTGTGGTCCTGAACATGAAGATAAATTGGTATCTTGTCTAAAAGCGATATTATTTGACCCTACTGGTTCTGTTAACTTTGATAAGTTAACTAAATCAAAGACAGTGTCAAAATTGATTACAACTCCTGATTTGAATGAAAATATATTACAACAATTATTTACAATGTTTTATTCGGAGCTTCCTTCAAAAATTGATACTGACTTGTCTCTAATCCGTTTTATTTTAGATACTGTCTTACATATTGTAAGAAGTCACAAAAATTACATGCCTATTACTTTAGCTACAACTATCTTAAAACCTATCATTTTGTTGACCTTTTTTACTAAAGATAACGAACAATTAAACGAATTGGCAAGAGAACGATTATACTCTATTCTTGCCGAACTTACAGGTGTCAAAGTGGATACACACTCTTGGCAGTATTATGCCCTAGATATAATCATTGAACTTGAAAATGACACTGATTCTAACGTCGAATTAGTTAATAAATTAGATGATAGTCTGATAAAAATAAAACAGGATGCAATGGAGGTATTAAGTGACATTTCTAATTCATTCGAAAAAGCAGGTGAGGAAACATCAAAGTTGCGCGGTATGGAATCTCTAATATCTATGTGTTTACTTCAATTATATTCTGGTGATGTTGAATCTGTATCTGTGATTGAAGAGTTATGTTCATTCTATAATAGTCAATCTGAAGAAGGAGATAATTCGATGGTGGGTATAACAGAAATTCTATTGTCATTGTTAGCCCAAAAGAGAGCTATGCTAAGAAGGATTAGTCTTGCTGTCTGGGAACAATTTATTTCCGATATTGGACATGACGAATTGAAAGTTCTCTTGGATGTTCTATCGGCAAGAGAGAATAAGCAAGGGTTTAGCCAATTATTTGAAGGTGTTGATGAGTATGAAGAAGAAGAAGAAGAAGAAGAAGAAGAAGATAGTGATGCTGAGAATAATGAAAACAAAAGTTCAGACAATGAAGAAAGTTCCAGTGATTCAGATAATGATATGGATGATGAGAATGTCACAAATATTGATAAAGAAACATCCAGCGCATTAGTCAAAGCTCTAAATCTTCCTGAAAATATAATCAATGAAAATGGCGAGGTTAAGTTTGATGAATTAGATGATTTCTCTGGGGATGAAGAAAGTGATGAAGAATCGATGGACGATGAAAAAATGATGGAATTAGATGATCAATTGTCCGAAATATTTAAAAGAAGAAAAGAAGCTCTATCAAGTATTCCAACAGGCAACCAAAGAAAAAGTGATGTTAAAATGTCCCGTGAGAACGTGGTTTCCTTTAAACACAGGATTGTAGAGATGCTAGAAATATACGTCAAGTATATAGAGAAATGTATCGTCGAAAAAAGAAAAGGAAAGAGCGACTCTAATGTTGACGCATCTAATTTGTTAATGTTTATCAGGCCAATGATTGCTTGTGTAAGAGAGACATTAGACAAATCGTTAAGTGATAAAATTTCCAAAATATTAAAGACCAAGGTCTTCAAGATTAGTGTGAATGCCATTTCCAATGTTCAGAATGAAGAATGTTTGACTTTAATAAAACAAGTTCATGATAAATTGTTGAGTTCAAAACCTGGTCATTTCAGTGTAAACTATTATTCCTTGTGTTCAACCTCTTCTATCTTCCTAGGTAAACTTTTGCTTGAAAACAACAAGGGAGATGATTCTTCTGCCATTTTGGAAGAATTGGTAGACATTTATTCTCAGACCACAAAGAAATGGATGACTAAGGGAAAATTTGGTGTAAATATCTTCATTGACTTCTACAATTGGCTGTCAAGCAAGAAACAATAAAAATAACATTTTCGGTAATTATTTTACTAAAAAATGATGCATTACTCCCATAATAAAGTTGTATATATATATGAATATATATAGACGTATGTATAATATTATTTACTGTAGCATATCAATGTTGGGTTCTGGAATATCACCAATTCTTTGCAATTTGCTTGAACATTTCCAAATCTGGACGGTATTCTCTTCTTCAGCAGAAGCCATTAACCATGGGATATTGTCGTTTATTGATATGTCGTTGATGGCACTTTTGTGACCTGCATGAATCATCAGCACTTCTGGCATAGCATCCTCTGCATCATCACGAACTTGTTCGTTACCAATTTCCATTATATCCCATACGATGACTCTTCTATCTGCACCAGCAGAAACAATTATACCATCCTGTTGGCCATAGAAGTCTAAACTTGTAACAGCGTCTGTGTGGGCACACATTGTATGTAAAGGTACAGAAGTATCCCTCATATCATAAAGATAGATATTAGAATCTGTCCCTGCTGCAGCAAATAGATTTGAAGAATATTTTGAGAATGCAATGGTATTAAAAGGTTGTGGAGCCTTTAATTTCATAACAATTGAATCATTGTTATCGTTACTTGAACCTTCAAGTATTCTGAGATCTTGAATTTGTAAAGTACTATCTTCTGATACACTACCAAAGATACTTGGTTCAAAATTGTGCCACTTACAATCGTTAATAATATCGTTATGAGCATTCTCCCAAGATAAAACAGGTTCGGTAGACATTGATACATCCCATAATGCTATTGAGTGATCATCTGAACCACTCAAAAGTTTTCCCTTATCATTAGGATTAAATGAAAGACCGTACCCATTTTCCTTATGATATGACAGTCTTGTAGGTGTTTGTTTTGAAGATTGGTTTGTATCGTAGATATAAAGGGTACCTTCACCATTAATAGTAGCAACGATGTTATTTTGTTGTGGCATATAACGAGCTCTAGTGATCTCTAAATCGTGTTTAAATTTTTTAGTTATTCTAATGTTTGATTTTACATTTTCTGTAGATAATTCGTTATGTTCATCATCCTCTACTGAACTTAACGCAATTTCTTTTGGTAATTCTACAGATGCAATTTTCAAATAGTTATCTTCTTCACCAGAAGTGTGAGTCCCTAAAAGTAAATCTTGTTTTTGTGGTGAAGTTGATCCATTATCTGGTAACCATTGAATTGTTAAGGATGGCCATGTTAATTTTGTTTCGCTCACAAAATCGTACATTAATGGGACATTAGATTTCCACAAATCGTACTCTTGTTCAATTGATAATGGTTCATTATTTTCTTCTTGAATGTTATTTGTATCCATAAGTTGATCCATTATTCGTTAATGTATTTATTTTGCAGATTTCGTTATTTACTTTAAAAAGCCTAAATTAGAATATGTGCTTGTTTTATTCTATTTGAAACGTTGATGATGAGTTATCTCTCTATAATAACTGCTAGCCTCAGATTTTTACTATCAAAATGATTTATTGGAAGTATTAAAAATAATTATCAACTTGAAGTAAATGATTGTATCGATCTGATAAAGCTTGTTTTAAGCTGTTTGTTTCTTGTTCTACTTTCTCACTTAATTTTACTTAGGCCAAGACAGGAAATTGTAAAAATAATTGAACGCGAAATTGCGAATATTTTCGGCCAATTTGTTACACCATAGCAAATGAAGAAAAATGAAAAAGAAAAATTGTGCCTAAGCGCACAATTTTGCGAAACATTGAATTTTTGATGTTTTGCAATTTTGCGAATTGGGGAATTGCAGAATATGCGAAATTTGCGAAGAGAAAAGAGACATATAGAAAACACAATTGGCGATTTGTTAAGTACAAAGCGCCGAAGTGCGATCGTCTCTTAATGTCCTGCATTAGGACAGAGAATATTTTCCCGTTTTAGGAGTTCGCATAATACACGAAATGTTGATCTGTTAAGAATTACTAAAAACAACAAACTCCTCATCAGTCCATCGTTCACTGTAATCATCCAATATATATATATATATAGAAGTTTAATAATTCACTAATCGACTCCTAAAGCTCCTCCATTTAGAATTATAAGAAGTCATAAGAAAGGCATATATATCATCATCATCATCATCCCCCTAATACAAATAAACAATTCAGATCAAAAACACAATATGAGTTCACCATTAAGAAGAAGATCAGCTTTGACTAGCAAAAACGTTAACCTTAATTCAAGATCAAACAACTTTTTAACCAAGAGTATGAGTAGTAGTAGTCTCCCAAGCAACAGTTTATCTAGATCTCCATCTGGGTCTCCAACAAGATGTTCACAAAAAACTAATATTAGACAAAGTCCATTGAAGAAAAGAATCTCAGGAACACCATCTCCCATTAAGAGACTACAACAGGGCTTTGCATTTTCATTCCACGAAGATAATTCTCCTACTCGTATATCCATAATCAAATCACATGAACATATAAATCCACGTGAAAATGATGATGGTACGGCCAAAGAAAACGTATCTCCTATTAGAACGAATACTACAAGCAAAAAAAATAATGAAAGTGCTAAATTACATTCCATTGAAGAATTCTCAAGGAATAAAACAGAAAAGACTTCGAGAAGAATCCCACTACAAGAATTAAGAGCCTCGGATTATCCTGGATACTTAGAAGATCCTATTACTCACAATGTATGCCCTTTAGATGTACCTTTTAGTGTCAACCATAATAGCAGCTCAGAGAGCTCAAAACGGAGCTCGCCATCTAGAATTCTTCGTTTCTAAGAATTCAAATAGCTCACATAAATTACTATAAAGTTGTTGTGTTTTTTTGCATTTGCACACTTTCGATGTGCTCGAGGAAAACAGAATGAAAAACGCTCTGTGATTGCTCAATTATAATGGGACCCAGGACTACCTGCTAACCGCACGATATATACCCTCATCAAATATGTAACATTATCTAACGTCATTAATTAATTGAAGAAATAAAGAATATCATTCCTTAAATGAGTATTTTGTTCATTGCAACAGCCTTTTTCTTATTTAGGTAATGCAATGCTTCCAGATACAGTAACTCTTCCCTAGTTTGGTAATTTTCTTCTCTGATATATATATATATATTTTTCTCTCTCGTTTTTCAATTTCTGACTTGTTATTGTGACTACGCAAAGCGAGGTCCAAAGCTGAACACTTTCAAGAAAAACAAACACTTCACATTCAAACAGTATCCTTTTTTGGGACACATTTTTCAATATTTATATTTATACAAGGAATTGACCGTCGAGAGATCAGATTACTTGTGTATTACTGATCGTGATTTGTCTCTTACAAGAAATCGGAAGAAGCTATTCAGATATGGTATCAGACGGTTATACTTTGCAGTCAGCATTTGAGTCCCGTTTGTCTTATGATATTAAACATACTTCTGACGAAGGTAGTACATTATTGTACACAACAGGCCCAATACTGGAGGATCATCTTAATGATACGCTAAAAGAACTGCTTGAGTTTCACAATGTTTCATGTGAAAGCTCTGAGTTGACATATATTTTACCAAATGATCTCGATAAGAATGAGGTAACCCTTGTACATAACATTGAACAAAAATTTATCTCCATTGAAGGTATTACAGCCGACAATGAATTTCAGCCATATGTTTCTGAAGATATTGTAAATACCCTTTCTCTTCAACCAATGGATGAAGACACAATTGATATTTCAAAATTTTTTAATGATGATTCTAATGGATTTACTGCCATATTGGATGATATGGCTACTCATTTTAAAGTGTATATAATTATGAATTATAAATTAATATCAGATTTGTTAGAGGTAAACACAAGATTAATAGGTACTTCTGAAAATATTATCCGCTGTAAACACCAGGTATATGCATTCATTCATTTATTTATGAACAAGTTTAACAGAAACGAAAATTATGTTGTCGATTATCTAGATATAGAGACACTATCATTTTTACCATTCTTACACGATCAACAAAACATGAATTTTATTAATAATCATCTCTGTACATCTATTTTTGCACCAGAAATTGCTCAACATAATGATAAATCGTTATCACGACAACTAATTCTAACAGGAAATATTCACGGACAATTACTGAAGACAAAAAAGATCATTGAACAAAGATTGCAATGTTTGAACACATCAATATTTTATAAAAAGATTTTCAACATCTCAAGTGCTAAATTGTTCTTCCTGAAGAAATTTTGTCATGCCGATACCGTCGAGTTTATGATTCAAAACCATTGTTTTATTAGTCTAAACAATAATTCTATTGAATTCCAAGCATTTTCGCCAATTATATTAAATACCGTGGTTAAACAATTTACATTAAAATTTTTGCAAGAATTAGTGGAATTAGCGCTTGTTATGAACAAAGATAATAGCTATAATTCAATAATAAAAGACATTAACAAAAACAAACTATTCAATGGGCAATATGTTGTGATGAAATCACACACTTCAGATGATAAAATAATTATTTGTGTTAAACATAACGATTTGACCGAATATCTGGTGGATACAGATAGTAATAAGGACTGTGTTATCATATTCGATGACGATAAAGTTAAACAATTCAGATTATCCTTCGAAGTCAATTCAGAATACGAAGATTTTATTTGTGGGAAAAAGAATGGTAAGCTAACTAGAATCATAGACAATGTAAAATCTATCATTGAATTATCAAACAACAGCAAATCGACTCAAAATAATGGTGATGATACAATGAATCTAACAGTTATTAGTTGCAATTTCAAGGATTTTAGGAACTCTATGAAAAACATTGTTAATGAATTACCAGCAGAAGAATCATTTTTCATTCCAGAGGTATATCATAGACCCATTATTGGAGCAGGTGGTACTATAGTTCAGACAATTATGAGAAAGCACAACGTTTTCATTCAATTTTCAAATAGTTTTTCTTTACCTCAAAATAATTTTGGAATTACAAGATATCATAACGTTGTTATCCGTTGTCCAACAAAGAATGAACAGAATATTAGATTTGCAAAGAATGAAATATTTAAGTTAGTAGATGATTTTAATTATATGCAGATCATTGAATCATTGAACTTGACGAACAACCGATTTGAAAGTATCATTTTGGCATCAGCTGATAATACAAACCTAAACAAATTGATTCAATTTGAGAGGAAATATAATGTATTTATTGATTTCCCAAGTGACTTATCAAGAAGTGACAACGAACCTGTATTACTAAAAATTATCGGTAATGACGCTTCAAGTACTCTGGAAGCCGTCGATGATATAACTAATGATCTGTCACAGTGGTACAGAGAGTTAACTTTAAAAATATCCTCAAATTTTAAAGTTTATTCTCAAAAGAAAGATAATGTAGCCAAATTGTACAATGAGGTCATTATTCCCTTGGAGGAAGCATTTAATCAAGTCTTCATTAGTTTCAGTCAATTGAATTCTGTTATTGCAGTTGCATACAACGGTGATTCCTCTATAAACCCTAGAGATAATGTAAACAAGATTGTAGAATTCATCACATCATATTTGATTGAGCAAGGGATGACAATCATTAATAAGAGTCAGGCTCCTGATACCGTCGAATAATACTTACAAGTACTAGCACAGATAATATAAATAGCTAAAATAATTGCCAAAGTATTATTTATTTTAGGCTTTTTGTAACTATATAGAAACATCGATATTTACATAATTTTTCGTTTGAAGTTTACAGGATATTAATAATAATAAGAATAATATTAGCACTATTTTAACGTCATCAAAGTCTAGTTCCAAGTGTTTCATTGAGATACATTACTACCTTATCAAATTCTCCAAAATCGACCCCTTTGTCGTCTTGTTGATTTCCACTTCCATTTAGCTGTTTGAATTGAACCCTGTAATCATAGAAATCAGTATGACCGATTCTCTCATTATTCTCAATCTTGAAATATTCTAATGTTAAAATATTTTTTAATATCTGTTTGGCCATTATAATATCTCTATCTGCATTGATTGATTGATTCTCCACATGAGATACAGCAGTCATTATGAAATTGTAAGTTTGGAGGAGCTCAGTCTTCCAACTGATATGGTTGCTTGTTTCCTTTCCTAGAACTAATGATCGCCTTTTCTCGAAATCCTCATATTTAAATTTATACTTGAGATAGCCTATGTAGGTGTTTTGGATCATTTGTCTTTGGGATATGAATGGTTTAAGCCTTACAAGACGTCTATAATGGATTAATATGTACTGCTTGTCATTGCATATATTTAAATCAGTTTGTGGTAAGAGGAATTTACCAATATTTTTGATAAAAAGACGATTACCTGTGCTAATTGCATTCTTAGTCTCGATAATGGCAGACATTCGAATGGAGAGATAGGTTAGAAGATATTTTAATAAATATTTTGTGATGTTTATACGAAGGTATTCTTTTATTGAAGTTAACGCCAACACGGCAATTGTGCTGTAGCAAATTTTATTTTCGTTTTTTACATTTATTATTAGAGTAGTACTCACTCAGAATAACAACATATCGATATAGAAGGAGCATATCGAAATAATCTTCTAAGACCTGGCATCCCAAGTCCACTAGCAATTTGTTACAGATGAGTAATAACGGGGAACTAGTTTATTTAAGTTCTGATGGGGAAGATTCAGATTCTGTTCTCTTAGACGCCTCTAAAACTATAGAGAGGAAACCGACCTGTATTACCGACGATTACGATGGTGACAGTTCTGAGTTGGAAGATGATGAAGCTAGCACTTCCAAAGGGTTTACTCCTACTTCAGGAAATAATGTGTTAAGGATCAAAGAACGGGATTTGGTATTTACATTAATTGGGCTTAAGGAAAAACAAGGTGTACACATTTCAGGTGTGTTCGATATTCAAATCATAAAAGGTGGGATTATGTATAATGGAGTCCATTATAATGCTTCTAAAAATAGGATATCATTTTCACACCCACTTACAGATGCAATACCAGAAATCAAATCTTCATTTCATGCAGGATGGGACGAACCATTGTTTTTAACTGCTAAACAAAAGAAATTGATAGATATTCAAATGCTAGAAAATTTTGTTTGTGTACTGAAAGTGAGCTCTGCGAATGTAGATGGATTATTGGGTATTTCAAGTTTATACCCTGATGCGTCAAGTCTATGGAAACCAAAATATAGCCCTTCATGTATCATACCATCGAGTACTGATACCTTCTGTATACTGGATAAAACATATGAAGATGAATATACATCTCAGAGTAATCCTACTAGTTGGCAAGATGTAATTGATAATTTATTTGTAGCATTCAAAAATCAAGAATATGATATGAGAGTAATGGTCATTGGTGGTAAAAACTCAGGGAAATCCACTTTTCTACGTTCACTACTAGAGACATTTATGAATAAAACCATTCTTAACGAGGATGGTTCAACATTTAAGTCACAAGAGGATATATTATATATGGATCTTGACCCAGGACAGCCCGAATATTCGGACCCAGAGTGTATATCTTTAACTGAAATAAGTCCTACACATGTGGCACATCTAGGTCAACGTTTAGCTCAGCATAGTCATAAAAAGTTACAACAGTTCTATTATGGTTCTTCTTCGCCTCAGGATGAACCGACATTGTATATGGAACAGATAAATGAGATGATGAAATATTTTGAAGAACGTGAGTCCATGGGTACCACTTTATTAAATCTACCTGGATGGATCAAGGGATTTGGTATGACTATTGTTAACAATGTTATACGTCTTTTCAAGCCTACACATGTAATTTGTATTGATTCTTCAAAATTGGATGCCGAATTAGAGATACAAAACGAATTTGCTAATGCTTTCCAAATAAAATATGAACCGAAAATATATAACGTTGATAGTATATTTTCTCATAGTACTTCACAACAAAATTTACAACCAAGATTCCATGCACCACAAATTAGAACAATAAAGATGCTTATGTCATTCCACAGACTTCGAAGCTTGAATAATATGAACTTAAAATATGACTTTGCCCCATTGCTATCTCAGAAACCTATACAGATATCATACGGCGCTTTATCAGGAATTGAGGGAATCCAATTTTACGAGGAGTACTCAGACCTCGAAGAGAATGACATTAAAGGTGCATTAGAAGGAATGGTTGTTGGATTGGGTTTAAGAAGGACATGGAATAATGAAGGCGATGCGAAACCATATCGCACTATTGTTGATACATATCCTATTGTTAAGAACAGATTGAAAGCAAGTAATGTATTGCATTATTCATTGGCTTTGATTCATTCAGTTGATCTAGAAAATCAAATAATTAATATATTTCTTCCAGATATAAATAAGGAGAAGGTAAAGGCAAAGACCGAGGAGTTAAGAAATTCTGATAATGAAAATGATGAGGAATGGAGATACTCTTGGGTCATTATTAGAGGAAAGTCAGATACTCCGTTGTGTGAATTGTATCCTAAAGAATTGTCAGCGATGTTTGATAAATATGAAACAATTCCGTACATATCTACATCAAGAAGGAAGAAATACGAGCACGTTTGGAAGGTTCGTAAAAATGTTCAACGGAGAGGACAAACTATGAAGTGAAATTACAACTACAAGGAGTCCGGTTTAAATAAATATAAATTCAACTTATATATAATATGCATTTCTTTACGATAAAAATATATATCGAATGATCTAGAATTGGTGAGTACGGTATCCTAACCTGACGATTCGGTATTGTCATCAGTGACAAGCCTTACATCATCATTCCAACCCATTTGCTTATTTAATTTATCGTACTTGAGTCTATCTTTATCACTTACTGAAGGTTTTATCATGGACAATGCTTTGAAAAAGTCGTTAGCCGTAATCAATATTTGATCTTCTGATACCCCAACACTCAAGTCTTCAAATTCCTTATCTAAATTATTATCAAAAACAGATTGTATGTCGTCTGTTTTAAAGAAACTTCTCTTTAGTGCTAAAATTGAACTTTCTCTTACTAATGCTGCCAAATCTGCACCAGAATAGTTTCTACAACGTTCATCAGATATAATATTTTCGAATACAATGTCTTTAGCGAGGGGTGTTCCACTGGATCTCGTGACTGTTTTGATGATATCGAGTTTCTCTTCCTTGTTAGGAAGTTCAATGAATAAAGTTTTGTCAAGTCTCCCTGGTCTTAACATTGCAGGATCTATTATGTCAGGTCTATTAGTGGCACCAATAACGAATATACCTCGTCTATCGTTTAGACCATCTAATTCTGTTAAGAGAGTATTTACAACTCTTGAAGATGACTCGGATAGTGATGTGTCTCTTCTTGGGACCAAAGCATCTAATTCATCGAAAAAAATGACACATGGCACAGATGCTCTAGCTCTTGTAAATACTTGTCTAATTGCCCTCTCAGATTCACCCACATATTTGTTTAGTAGTTCTGGTCCTTTAATTGATATAAAGTTTGCACGAGATTCATTTGCAACAGCCTTGGCTAACAACGTCTTACCACAACCAGGTGGACCCCATAATAGAACGCCTGCAGGTGCATTTATACCAACTCTTTCATATAATTCAGGCCTTTTGATTGGTTGAACAATTGCCATATTTAATTCAATACGAATTTTACTTAATGCACCAACATTAGCCCAAGTAACATCTGGGACAGTAGCAAACCCTTCTCTCTTAGCCGTTGGTTGAATTGTTGGTAAGGCCTTTAAGAAATCTTCATATCTAATAGACAATTGCTCCAGCTGGCTATCAGTCAATGGATCTGGGAAATTATTAATAAATTTTTGTATCACCGACAAAGGCAAAGGATCAATCATATTTGCAGTATTCTTAAGATACGTTTGTTCCGGTGTTGAATTGCCATGTTCTTTTCCATTCTCACTTTCTGTCAAAGGTGTGTCCTCCTCCATTTGAATATCCTCGTCAGCTTCAGTATTCTCACTGACCGTGGTATCATTTTGAGGATTAGCTAACAGATTGTTATGGTTTTCAAAAATACGTTTAATAGCACAAGTTCCGGCAGCAGTGGTTAATGCCTTAAGATCAGCCCCAACGAAACCTGGTGTTAATTTAGCCAATTGCGAATAATCAATCTGCCCGTCAATTTTTAATGATTGTGTGATTTTTCTAAGAATGTGTAATCTTGAAACCTCATTAGGAACATTTAAACAAATTTCTCTGTCAAATCTACCGGCTCTTCTTAATGCAGCATCAAGGGAGTCCGGTCTATTTGTAGCACCTATAACAATAACAGGTTTACCGTTCGTATTTTCCAGAGTTAATTCATCCATCGAGGTCAATAATTGGGCCACAATTCTTCGTTCCATCTCCCTTTGAGCACCTCCATCACGTTTTGGAGTAATAGCATCAATTTCATCAAAAAACATTAGACATGGAGCCAAAGACTTAGCTTCCTCAAATAAATCTCTGATACGTTTTTCACTTTCACCCGACATTCCACTAACAACCGATGGTGCAGATATTGATATAAATGGTATTTTCAATTCACCAGCAACAGCATTTGCAATGGATGTTTTCCCACAACCAGGGGGGCCATGTAATAAGACGCCTCTGGGTGGCTCTACTCCTGTGGTCAAATATATTTCTGGATGTAACATTGGAAGCCCTATAAGCTCCATAAGTTGTGCAATTACATCATCCATACCACCTAATTGTTTTAAATTAGAAGTAGGTGGAGAACGATCCTCTTTTGTCTTTTGTCTCTTAACCTTTGTTTGATTATCTTTTGTTCTCTTTTTATTCGACTTTTGGGTAGACTCATCTGTAGTTTCTGTCCCACTTGTGGAAGGTGCAGGTACAGGTACAGGTGCAGGTGTGATCCCCCACTGATTTGTGACACTTTTATTCATTTGGTTTGAGTCTGCGTTAATCATTAAATTTTTCTTCTTCATTTCATTTTCATTAGAGTCAGTTCCATCAAGTTCATCTTCACCTTGAGGTTCATTATATTCAGGAAATGTGGAAAACTCTTCTTGTTCCTCAGTGACTATTTGGGCTAAGACTTTCTCAATTGTTTTTGTTAACATAACTTTTTTCACTCTTTGCATTGAAAGATCCTTAACCATGCAAAAATTGAAAATTTCAGACACAGTTAGATCCTTTGCAAAAAAAATTGTATCAAACGCATCTTGATCATCCTCAACAACATCAGTTTGTGGTATTTGTGCAGCTTCCCTTTTCTTATCTAGGGTCTTTTCTTCTAACAAGCGATAAATAAGGTCCGAAACTTTATTATCTAATGGTGTGTTGCTATTTTTCTTCCCTTTAGCTTTACCCATCTTGATTATAAATCTTCTCCGATATAGCTGATTATAGTGATAATAATCTCGTCAGTTGTATCTCTGTGTACTTTAAGTTAGAGAGACGACATATGAATGGTTTTAAACGAGTCTAACTTGCGATGAGCATCTCATCTTTTTGACTTTTCTTCTGAAAAATTTTTTTTCTGTTGGGATCACGTGAGAGAAGTGTCAAGAGTGGCAATTAGGTGAAGAATACCTGTTTTACATACGCAGTTAAAGAGATAAATAAGTTGTAAAAATCAGTGTAGAAATACCAATATTTCACTGATTAGTTTATATATATAACAGGAAAAACAAATTGGTGTTATTGTGACATATCAATAAGAAGAGTCCTAAATAAAATGTTCTTGATAATATTTTCAATCCATCTTCACAGATAGACACACTCATAGTGGGATTACAGGCGATATTTATGCAAAAATGTAGATATATGGTATATTATCGATGTAGAGTGCTTCTATAACCACCTCATATCATTATAATCGTTTCTTCCGTCTCTAGTTTCTTATGTCTTTCAAGCTTCAGATAAAGATTGAAAGACATAAGAAAATTTTTTGTTGTCAGCGATTTTTCTGTTTATGCTATTTAGAGACAGTCCGTTTCCAGGATAATAAAAATAGGATTTTAATAGTAAATAAAGAAACATTGCAATCTTAAGGAACCTCCTGGCTACAAGACTAAAGAGGGTAATATATTGTGTTTACACTTGAAAATATCATTATTGTTGATTAATTAATAGATAGATATAACCTTTATACATCTGATGTTTTGCGCAATTAGTGGTAAACCACCCAGAGTTGCTGCCATTTCTCCCAGTTCGAAATGTGTCTTTGAGAAGAGTTTACTGGAACAATATGTTAAAGAACATGGGATAGATCCGGTCTCTAATGAGCCTATCACTGTAGATCAGATTATAACAGTAGCACAGTCCCCCTTACAACATTCGTTGAATGATAATCTCAATTCCGCTACATTGAACAGTAATTATAGTATCCCAAGTTTGTTGTCCACTTTGCAAAATGAATGGGATGCACTGATGCTCGAGAACTTCAGTCTAAGAAAACAATTAGATCAAATTACCAAAGAATTTTCTACAGCTTTATTTGAAAGAGATGCTGCAAAACTTGTGGCTGCTCGTTTATTACAAGAAAAGAATGTAGCTCTCAATGATATTAAGACGGTGGTATCTACTTATGCAGAGGCCAGTAGGAGTAATAATAACCTCATGGAAGACTCATCTATTAAAGATTCACATTCAGATATGTCGAAATCGATGGTTAGTGACTCCCAAGATTTTGTGAAAGAAACAAAAAAGCATATTCCAAAGGAACTAGTTTTGCCAGAAGGTGATAATGTATTTGAAGCTAATTCGACATCTGAAAAACTAGCTTCCGGGATGATATGTTTCCCAAGAATAACATATATTGAGGATAAGAAGCGTATCCCTAGAATATTCCAGGATCCATTAAGTCTATCAATAATTTATGACTCTTTCTCTAATCAAAAAAAGTTTGATATCCCAGAAACATGGACTGTTGGGAATGAAGCATTATTATCCATGTTATGTTTAACGAATGATGAGAATATAGTGGTTGCTCTTACAAGAGATAACAAACTTGTAGTGTATGACCTTGAGAAACAAGAGACTTTAAATAGTATTTATTTCGAAGTTAAAGATGTGATATATATATGTTGTCATGAGAGAGTCATGAAGGATTGTATTCTAATAGTAAAAAGAGATGGAACAGTGGCGTATGTTAACTATAAAAAGTATACCGCTGATGAAAATTCAATTATAACCGTTATTTCTGGAGAGCCATCCGTGTCTTATCAATATGCTCAGTTACATAAAGATGGTTTACTTCTAGCATTGGGCGATAAAGTATCCGTTTCTTTAATAAATTTATCAAATCCGTTAGATCAACCTATAGTTTTCCAATGCAACCGAGAGATTCCTAGCGACGGGGGTTTAACTAAAGTTTTCTTCCCAAGAAATGGGTACTGGATGATGGTTCAATCTGAAGCAGAGATATTTACATTTGATTTACGTAAGGATGATCATTCTGTTTTGGCCACACCTCCTATCAAACTTTCGCAGAATAAGCTCACGAGATGGGATCTTGATCTTAGTGGGAAAACTCTTGTCATTTCAGAATCAGAGGGCACTATTCAGATAATTCATGTATACGTTTACACAAAGACAAAAAAGCAATGGATTCATCATTCTACACATCAAGTCAAACAGAGTTCAGTGTGGAAACCAGAGGAATTTATTGTATTACGACAGAGCAGTGAAAGTAATAATGCAGCTCTTTTCGAAACTTCAGGTGGAGCATCACAAATATTGAACATTCATGTTTAGATATATTTCTATATATATATTAGATAGTTATACACATATCAATAATTTAAAATAGAGTACATCTTGATGTTGAAAGGTCCAGTCAAAGCAATTTTCCATAATATGTGGATAGGAAACTCATCGTTCCCACATGGGGATAATCGAAGAATCTTTAAATAGGTAGATAATTTATTTATGTTCACTAAGCGAAGCGAGATACGAGGCGATGGTTTGAGACACAACAAAATCTAAACAACGACCGTCTTAATCATAATAGGGATACAAAACTTGATAACAAAATAATAAAAAGACTCCCTTTAAAAGTGTGAGTAAGTTTCAGATTTTAACACTTGATTCAACTTGAAGAGATCATATAAACAGCAATTAGATAACACACCTATAAATTATGTTGGAGTCCTTGGCAGCAACTTTGTTGAACAGACTATTAGGCTCCTATGTTGAGAATTTTGATCCTGATCAATTGAAAGTTGGTATATGGAGTGGTGATGTTCAGCTAAAGAATTTGACATTGAGGAAAGACTGTTTGGATTCTCTTGATTTGTCTGTGGATGTTAAATATGGTGTTTTGGGTGATCTAATATTGAACGTTCCTTGGTCCAGTCTTAAAAACAAACCAGTTAACATATTTATTCAAGATTGTTATTTATTATGTATTCCAAGAGATTTACACTCATATTATTCTCAGGAATCTTTAGAACGTCAATTCAGACTGAAATTGAAAAAACTGATGGAATGGGAGCTCTCTAATAAAGCAAGAAAGAGTCAAGTTATTGATTCGGGTACTGCAGGATCCGAAAATGAATCATTTATGCAATCCTTAATAACCAAAGTAATTGACAACATCCAAATTAGTATTAAAGATATCCATATTAGATACGAGGACTCTTCGTGTATATTTTCCCCTGTTCCATCTTCTATTGGGATTTCTCTCCATGAATTATCCGCGGTTTCAACTGATTCCAATTGGACACCAAAATTTATTGAAACTACCCAATCACTTACGCATAAATTATTAACTCTAGATTCCTTAAGTGTATACTGGAATACAGAAACAAAGGAGTTTGTCGATATGAACAATGTCGATCCTATTAGATTTCTAGAGAGTTTCAGGCAGTATAATGACAATAATAAAACCTCAAATCAATATTTATTAAAACCCGTAACAGGTACAGGTAAGTTGAGTATAAACAAACTCGGAACTACAGAAGTTCAACCTCATCTTGATTTGCAACTGATATGTAACCAATTTGGGTTGGAACTAGATGATGCTCAATATTCCGGATTCCTACATTTTATATCAATATTAGAAATGCAAAGAGCTACCCAAAAGTTTAAAAAGAAAAGACCTTCCTACACAGTAGCTGAAAATCCAAGAGGATGGTTCAGATATATTGCGTCATGTATAAAGGAAGAAATCCACGAAAAGAATACTATGTGGACATGGCCTCATATCAAGAAAGCAGCAGATTATAGGAGGGAGTATATTGACCTTTGGATTGAAAAATTGAAATCTGGTGATATTGAAAAGTCCTTCGTAGATCAAGTTAAGGAGGACAGACTAATCTCACTAGAGAAGGAGTTGAATTTCGATACCATTATTCTCTATAGAACAGTTGCCAATGGTAGATATATCGAAAGCAGACTAACGTCAAAGGAAGGTACACCAACCACTTCTGTACCAATATCACCTCAACTAAGTGAGGAAAATAAGCCTGGCACATGGCTCTCTTCTTGGTGGAGTAGTGATTCACTTGCTAACCAAGAGGATAATTTGGTACTTACTGAAGAGCAAAAGAAAGAGTTGTATGACGCTATTGAATTTAATGATCACTTGCAAAGCAACTTACAAACTAAACATGTAGATAGACATTTGACCCAGATGAGAGTTACCGGTCTGCTTCGGAAAGGGTTTTTGATACTTAAAAAGAAAGATAAAAATGTTCGATTAGGTACGATGACCTTCAAAAACTGTAATTTAGAATTTCACAACAGAGAGGATTCTAGTCTAACAAATTTTAAACTTCAAGAATTTAAAGTTGAGGATGGTTCCCCAAATAGTATTTTCAAGGACATTATTTGTTCTAAAGAATTAGCCATAGATGATACTTCAACTTTAAGTCAACCATTATTCCAGGTTTTATATGAGTCAAATCCTTTGGATGGGTTAGCAGATTCTCGAGTCGATTTACAATTACTGGGAACAACCGTCTTTTATCATGTACATTTTATTTCTGAAATTATGAGATTCTTCAAACCAAAGTCTAACCATATGGATTCGGTAACTGCTATTATTAACGCCGCAAGTACTACAGTCGAAGGCTGGACAACTCAGACTAGAATGGGAATCGAATCATTACTTGATGAACATAAAACGGTAGATTTGAAATTAGATCTACAGGCACCGTTGATAATTATACCGTTGAACCCATTTTCGTGGAAAACCCCTTGTGCTCTTATAGATGCAGGTCATATATCCATTGTGAGTGATTTGGTTTCCAAGGAAAAAATTTCTGAAATTAAGGAGATGTCTCCCAGTGCATATGATAAAATAGATGGATCAGATATAAATAGACTGATGTTTGATAGATTTACGTTAAGATCACAAAATACTCAAATTTTGGTGGGTCCTGATATTACCGATACATTGGATAATTTGAATAAATCCTCTTCTGGTAATCGTTTCTATATTTTAGAAAAGATGCAACTTGATATTATAATTGATGTCTCTATTTTACCAAAAGCTCTTAGATTACCAAGAATAAGAGTATCAGGGCATCTTCCAAAGCTGTTTATGGCATTCAATGATTATCAGTATAAAATTTTCCTTGATCTGGCTCGTAATATTATTCCCCCATCCAACGACTTAAGTGTGAGTGCAGATTACTATGAATCTAAAAATGGACAGCTTTCACCTGAAGAACAACAGTTAGAACAAGACACCTTGAGGGAAACAATTGAATCCATTAAGGATTTATCTGAACTTGAAATAGAGCAGAAATTTCTAGATATTAATTTTGATATTGATGAAGCCCAATTTTCTATACATCAATGTTTAGATAAAAGTACTATGGATAATAAAAAGTTAATAGACTTAGTGTTTACAGATTATAAATTTACATTTGAAAAAATGATGAAACAGATAAATGTTAATATGAGTGTCAACTCCATGGCTGTTGAAGATCATATTGTTAATACAGACTTTGCTGAGTTTAGAACTCTTATTAGTTCAGATATGAATAAACAAGATGGGGATATTATGACACTTGACTATAAGAGAACTCAAAGAATTGTCACTCACGAGGAAATGTTAATAGAGGTATACGATCAAGATATTTCTATTAATGCCACGAAGATGAAATTAATTCTAACTCCAAAATCGATTTTAAGTTTAATGAACTATACGGTTTTAACATTTACGGATCCAAATGCTCCAGAGGTACCTGCAGATATTTTGAAACATAATGACGAAGATCATGATGATTCTCCCCAACAATTAAAGGTTAAATTTAAGTACGAAGGTATGGATGTTATTCTAAATGATGAGTCGATGAAACTAGCTACGTTTACCTTATCTTCAGGTGAATATGATCTCCTTCTTCTACCTGAATCAATGAAGTTTAAAATGGACTTTGATGGTGTTGAACTAATTGATGAGATAAATGAAGGTGTTGGTAAAAATAGCGTATTTAGAAAGTTGATAAGTATGAATAATCAAGACCTCGTGGGGTTGCGCTATGAGAAGTATGATGCAACTACAAATAAGTTCAATTATGATTCCATGATGGTATTATCTGCCGGTGCAATGTTTGTTAATTTTAACAAAGAGTCAATAAGGAGAATTGTGTTGTTCTTGAAAAAGTTCCAAAAGATGAAGACCTATTTCGATAGCTTACGTCTAGCTGCATACAATCAAGCACCATCTCTTTCGACAGTTAACAATATGAAAGTTAATATTAGCATTAAAGCTCCAATTATTCAATTTCCAAGACTAGCTCCCCGTTCAAACGATAAGTTCGATAGTATTAAATTTTACTTAGGTGAAATATTTATTGAAAATGATTTTATCCAATCTAGTACCTCGAATATTATTAATAACATTAAGTTAGGACTACGAAATGGTCAGATAGCATCATTATTTCATTTAGACGACGGTATTTCACAAGATCTGTATATCGCCGATGGAATGAGTATAAATTTTGACATTAGTCACAACCAGGGAAAAAATAGTATATCTCCAGTATTCAAAATTTTAGGTGAATTAGATCCATTATCATTAAATGTTACTGAATTACAACTAACTTATTTGTTCGACATTATTAATCTTTTAGAAGCAGCATTCATTTTACCAGATGAAGAGACTTTAACTAGCGCAACATCAACAGCATTGAGTTCAGAACTGGATGCAAATTCTAATTCAGAACATGATATTACAGGAACTAGTAGCTTGTCGTCAAATATTTCAACTCAGTTAAATCTCTCTGATACAGAGAAGAATACATATAATAGTATTGATTTTAAATTTTCTGCGCCTTCTATTTCTCTGACATTATATGATAATACGGAGTCCTGCTCAACTATTGACCAGAAAAGTTTAACTAAAATAATGATACAAGATATGGCATCTAGCATTATCGTTCATACTGATGGTTCATCTGAAGGGAATGCTCATATTGCTTCTTTTACAGTAGAAGATACTCGTGATAATAAGGATAACAAACATCCAGAGCTTATTCAGAGATCTGACTCTCAGGAATATCAGTTTTCTGCGTCGGTTTCTAGAAAGATTGTTACTAATAAATTGATTACAAATATCTCAAGTACTATTCACAGTCCACGTATTATACTTGCACTAGATCATATTTTTGCTGTTAAGCGCTTGTATGACACAGTAATGGCATCCAGAATCTCGATGAAGCAGTCCTCATCCAACGCCCCTGTTAGAGCAATTTCTGAAGCAGCACACACTAAAAATGATGCTATTTTACAAGAAAGTGGTACCTGGCAGTATTCGTTTAACATTATTGATGCCGCAATAATCCTATTAGCAGATCCATCAGAGTTGGATTCTGAAGCGGTTGTCTTTAGAGTGGATCAATTTTTATTAACCGAACAATCTATAATGTCAGCCTCAGCAAATAATATTGGTATGTTCTTATCAAGGATTAATGACTTAGAAAAAAATAAAGTTAGACTTATAGATGATTTCTCATCCTCTTTGATTATCGATAAAAGGGATACTACACCGCAAAAACTCTTGACAAAAATACATGCATCTGTTGAACCTTTAGTTATGCGTATATCATTGAGGGATATTCGTCTCGCTATATTGATATTTAATAAAGCAATTTCATTAATGGACATAAACAAGATTGTTTCTACAGGAGCGCCTAGTAATGAAACAGACGCAACTAAAGGTATCTTTTCAAAAGAATTTGAAAGGCGTATGAAGAAATGTATTCCAAGTTTGAATAGTGCCGATTCTGAGATATCTGACATCATTCCATTACAAGACATTGCAAAACAGACTAGTATTTTGTTAAAAGGTGAGGCATTTGATGCTGATTTTGGAGGATGTAGGATCATTCTATTGGGTGATGTACACGAAATGCCTATTATTGATACAAAGGTAAGTGCCTTCACAGTTAATGCATCAGACTGGTCTACTGCTTTTGACGGGTCAACCAATATTGAGGCTGCTGTGAATGTTTTTAATTATTCTAGATCTAGTTGGGAACCGTTGGTTGAGTCAGTCCCAATTGGTTTGTCTTTAAAGAAGGGTACAGATGCTACGTCGTCTATAAAGTTTGATATAATTGCCAGGAAGAACACAGAAGTTACTTTATCCTCAAGGGCAATAGCAATGCTTTCGAGTATTCCAAAATCTCTGAATGGTGAACTACATTTAACTCCAAGAGGGTCAAAGAAGCCATATAGATTAATAAATGATGCAGGATTAGATTTAAATGTTTGGATTTCAGATTCTACTGACAGAGAGAAAAGAGAAGGATTGATACATCTTAAGGCCAATTCATCTGAGTCCTGGGAATTTGAAGATTGGAAATCTATTAGAGAACGTTTAGATACCGATAAAACTAAAAGTGTTTTGGGTGTCGAAATTGATGGTTCCACATATACTACGACAATGACAATTGATGCTACTTTTGAAGGCGAGCTGTTACATGTCTTACATCCAGCGATAGACCAAGTTCATAATAGAATTATTTGCGAATTAAAATGTAATGATGATAATGTTAAAGATATTACTTTTAGGTCAACGTTATTATTGGAGAATATAACAGGTATTCCACTGAATTTTAAAGTAATAAAATTAAGCGATAATAATACAGTGGAGTTCCAAATAAAACCTTCAGAAAGTCGCTCTGTTCCTGTTGAATATGCTTATGCATCCAACATATATGTCCAACCTGTTGTTACAAAGAAAAATTTTGGTTGGTCTCTCCATCCAATTGTGTGGAAGAAACTCCTGAATGTTCCAGCATCCATTGATTGTGACGCGATTGAAGAAAACAATTCAGACCAGATTTTCTTCGAAGTAAATGCAAAATATGATAAAAGAGAGCCATTGGCTAAAATATATCCTCATATGAAAATCACAGTTTCACCATCAATTATTATCGAGAATCTGTTACCTTGTGATATTGAATTTTCGATATTTAGTAAGCAAGCTGAAATGAGAAAAGTCAAGTATCTCGCTAAAACAGAAAATATGACAGTTTATGACGTTTCGTTGAATGAATTTCTATTGCTTGCGATTAGACCATTAGTTGATGATACTCCTATGTCGAAACCATCTATAATCAATACACCAGAAAAGTCTCAGCTCCAATCCGAGAGGGCCATTACATTAACTATGCCAAATGGTCAACAGCTACAGGTCTACATGAAATATCAGAGTATCGAGAACAGCAGAGCTAAAACTATTAAGATATACTCTCCATATATTATTATGAACTGTACAGATAGAGATTTATATATGGAAGGATCTTTCGGGAATATTATGCAATCTAAGATTAATGTCGAAGATGGAAAGAGATATACTTTACCAAAGATGTTTTCATACGATATTGACGGTGACAAAAATAATAGAGCTAGGGTAAGATTTAGAGAGACTGATTGGAGTACCCCATTATCTTTGGATGCAATTGGACAATCATTTGATGTTACAATGGGAGTGCTTAATAAAGCGTTGGAATGCAACCTTGGTATCGATGTTACAGAGGGTACAGGGAAATATTCTTTGAGCAAAGTGGTAACAATTTCACCACGTTATATTATCAAAAACGAATTACCTTTCCCAATTGTTGTTTGTGAAACAGGATCCGTAAATACTACGGAGATAATGTCAGATGGTTCCATTGCCCTGTATAATCTGAGAAATATCATTAATAAGCAATTAGCCTTAAAAATGTTAGGTTCTATTTCTGAGTGGACAGCACCTTTCTTTATCAAGGATATTGGGTTAACTTACCTGAAACTACTACAAGAAAATGGAACACACATGTTGTTAAAATTGGAGGTTACATTAAGCCAAGCAACTATTTTTGTTAGAATTAAGGATGGAGAAAATTTATGGCCATATTCAATAAGAAATTTTAGTGATAATGATTTTATATTTTATCAAAGGGATCCTTCAGTGATAGATGAATATTATGACGTCGAACCAGAAGAGGAGAAATATAATAATGAGTATAAACCTTTGTACTATAAAGTTCCATCCAAGAGTGTTATGCCATATGCTTGGGATTATCCAACAGCAAGACAGAAAAAGATTGTTTTATTAGTAAGAGGACGAAAGAGAGAGATACAATTAGCTGAAATAGGTACCCAAAAACCTATGCGTTTACCTGCTAGGGTGGCTAATGAACAACCAGCCATTGTGGATCTGAATGTTATTGCGGATGGTCCGACTCAAGCATTAGTAATCTCAAGATATGACCCAGTATCTAGTATTTACAAATTACGTGATGTGCCAGTGTCTTCCAATAGTTTAACTGAAGCAAGGACTACTGGTATGGGCATTGGGTCTACTCCTTCTTTGGCTAGTACTCCTGAACTTTTTGAAACGGAAGAAGAAGATAATCATATGTTGAAGAATATAACTATTAACATATCTGGATTCGGTGTTTCTTTAATTAATAAGCAATTAAAAGAATTAGCATATGTCAGTGTCAAGGGTCTTGAGCTGACTTACAAAGATAGTGATTTATATCAAACATTTGGGTGGAAAATAAAATGGATCCAAGTTGACAACCAAATCTTTGGAAGTGTGTACCAAAATGTTCTGTATCCTACTGCAATAGCAAAAAGTACTGAAGATCTTGAATCACATCCAATATTTTCGGGGTCTATTTCTAAGGTGAAAGATGATTCGTTTGGTTTACCATATTTCAAACATCTAACGTTTTTACTACAAGAATTTTCAATCCAGCTAGATGAAGATTGGGTGTATGCAATGATTGATTATATGAAGTTCCCAGGTTCTCCACTTTACAGTGATTTTACCAATGTTCCATTGAAAGAAAGAAATGTGTTACCTAAAATTGAGGAATTAAATTTCTCAAACGATGTTTATTTTGAAATGTTTCACATTCAACCAACAATTTTACATTTATCATTTGTTAGTTCTGAAAATACTAAATTAGATGAAAATGAAGAAAATGAAAACGGAATTGTAGATGAATATAAAGAGAACGTTGATGTGAGTTCGTCAACTTCTGTATTTTTATTGCATGTATTAACAATGACTGTAGGTAATGTGAACGATGCTCCAATTAAGTTGAATGCGCTTTTCCTTGATAATGTAAGAGTTCCGATACCATTGTTAATGCAATCAGTGAAAACACACTATAGTCAACAATTTTTCTATCAGATCCATATGATCCTCGGTTCTGCTGATTTCCTTGGAAATCCAGTCGGGTTATTTAACACTATTAGTTCAGGTGTGTGGGATCTGTTTTATGAACCTTATCAAGGTTATATGTTAAACGATCGTCCACAAGATATTGGTGTATTTATTGCTAAAGGTGGTTTATCTTTTGCTAAAAAGACCGTATTTGGGTTATCTGATAGTATGGCTAAGATGAGTGGCTCAATGGCTAAGGGTCTTTCTGTTACTCAGGATAGTGGTTTTCAAGCTACCAGAAAATTACAGCAAAGAATGAATGCAAATTCAAGAAACGTATTTTCAACTTCAGCCCAATCATTTGCTAGTACTTTAGGAAGCGGGTTTGCAGGCGTTGCTCTGGAACCACTTAAGGGTAGTCAACGTGAAGGTGCCAGTGGATTCTTCAAAGGGTTAGGTAAGGGTCTTGTGGGTTTACCTACAAAGACTGCAATTGGGTTCCTTGACCTTACAAATAATCTCAGTCAAGGTGTAAAGAGTTCTACTACGATATTACAAGCCCAAGACGATCAAAGTGTCAGATTACCTAGATATATTAATCAAGATCAAATTATCCGTCAATATGATATGCGTGCAGCACAGGGGCAATACTGGCTTAAGTCAGCCAATGGTGGTTTATTCCAAGATGATCGTTATTTAGCACATACAGTATTGCCAGGTAAAGAACTAAGTGTCATTGTATCAATGGAACGTATTACAGAGATCCGTATGGCAACTCAAGAGGTAATGTGGGGGATTGAATACCATACCATTCAGGGAATCACTTTGGAGCGTGAAGGAATCAGAATTAAACTCAAGACTCAAAGCGAGTACTTCATTCCTATTGAGGATTCACAAGAAAAAAGGGCCATATACAAGAGTATTAGTATCGCTGTGGTCGAATACAACAAGTTTTGTGAAGCAGTGTTATGATAGTGTTACTCGTATTACAACTTAAATAAATAGTAAAATAAATAGTAACATGTTACACTTATAGAATGAGAGAGCATGTGATTTCTCCGAACTCCGGAGTTGAGTGTCTTTTTTCGGACATGTTTCTCTTGCTTGATTGGCCTCCGTCGCGCAGAGTCGGCCTGTCGGAAGGACTCTCAGGATTCTGTTTCTCTCCAAAATTTGATGCAACATGATTGGTTCAAGGCGAAAGTAGAAGTTTCGTATGCAGAAAATTAAAAAATAATTCTAATTCTACTACTATTGTGAACACGCAAATTTGCATATACAAATTTGAAAACTTGCGCGCATTTTTTGTATTACTTCGCTCCTCTCTCATACGCTAATTTCAATAATCTAGTTATGTGGAAAAAGAGTCGCTCCGTTTGTCTCGGTGAGAGCGGGGGAGGCCAAGGGGAGAGCCAACTTTTATATATAACAGTTTCCCTTTACATAAAGGACTTGAAACCAACTTTGATTGAAAAGTTTCTAACTTGAACATTGTATATAATATCTAATATTTATTTAGGAAAATATTATTAATATTATTATAATAACTAATCACCAGATATATTTGTTCTTATTAAAGAAAAGTGTTTGTTATTATACAAAGAAAAAGTTATATCTCTCCCTCTCTATTTGATACTGTGTGATAGATAAAATATTATTTAGAGCTATACTGACCTCATTACTATAAGACCATTTTGTTTTCATATTTTTAAAAAAAATCCCAATAAACCATGACATTATTAGCTAGAAACGCATACAGTCTTCTTTCAAGAAGAGGTTTGGCATCTGCTGCTGCATCTGCTCCAAAAGCAACCACTTCGAGATTAAAGACCTTTAAGATTTATCGTTGGAACCCAGATAAACCAGCTGAAAAACCTCAGTTGAAGGCTTACCAAGTTGATTTGAACAACTGTGGTCCTATGATTCTAGACGCTTTGTTGAAGATCAAGAATGAACAAGATGCAACTTTAACTTTCAGAAGATCTTGTAGAGAAGGTATCTGTGGTTCATGTGCAATGAATATCGGTGGTAGAAATACTTTGGCATGTCTGTGTAGAATTGATCAAGATGAATCCAAACAAACTAAGATATATCCTCTACCTCACATGTATATTGTTAAGGATTTGGTTCCAGATTTAACAAACTTCTACCAACAATACAAATCCATTAAACCATATTTGCACAGAAAGGATTATCCAGCTGATGGGAAGGAGATCCTTCAATCTATTGACGACCGTAAGAAATTAGATGGTCTTTACGAATGTATTCTATGTGCTTGTTGTTCTACTTCTTGTCCTTCCTATTGGTGGAACCAAGAAGAATACTTGGGTCCAGCAGTATTGATGCAAGCTTATCGTTGGTTGATCGACTCAAGAGATCAAGCCACTAAGATGAGACAAAGTATGTTAGAAAACTCGATGTCTCTATACAGATGCCACACTATTATGAACTGTACTAAGACATGTCCAAAGGGTTTGAACCCAGGTCGTTCCATTGCAGAGATCAAGAAACAACTAGCTCTCTAGATGATCTGGATTGATATGACATTAATTTATTTCCCATATTTTTATTCTACATTTACCAGTTTAAAAAAAAGTTTTAGCAGAATGGATTAATTTATGTGATTTTTGATGTTTGTTATGTCGTTTTGTTATCCTCTTCATCCTATATATATATTGTACCTTTCAATAGATTGAATTAAAAGGTATGGGCTTACTTCTCATTGAAAATAAATATTTTTTCGTTAGCAGATTAACTGTTTCCTTTGAAAAAGGTATCTAGCCCATCCATTTATTTAATCTTTATTTATTTCCAAACTTATTATTTATTCCATAACATATTTATATAATAATGAAAAAATAATTCATTACGTTTTATAGTTTTTTATTATGTGACAGATTATCACTTTAATACTTTTGTTTATCGGAGCAAGGGTACTTCCATCTATAAAGTACTACTGCTCAAGCTAAAATTTAATTGTTTTAATTTTTTTTATAAAAATTACAACGAAATTCATTTTTACTTCAAAAATATATCAATTCAAAATATGATGATATTAGAATCATTGGATATGGTTATGTATCTTATACTTTACAACCAAAAGTACGCATAATGTTTTTTTATCGTCACACCACAATGGTTCTTTTTAATTATGGTTCTGTATACCGACGAAAAGTAATTGGTCTTCCTTTATATACATACTACATTAAACAATATATATAACTTATGGTCGAGACATCAAAGTTATTCTTATATTATGATATCAATACTAACTTTACCTTAAAATATTTTCTTCTTCCTCATCCCATCCACTGTTTTTTTTTTAAGAACCGCAATCGAGTTTAGTATTTACATTGAAAATACTTTCAACAACTGATGACTACATGGAACAATCAAAACGGTGTCGTCATTTTCTTAAAGAAGGAACACATAATGATATATTATTTCGATATGTTTGTTCAATTTATCTAACCTAACTAAAGTGAAAGAAATAGAGAATAGGGGGGCAAGTAATAATACAAACTGTTGAAATAAATATATGCTCTCATTGGAGGAATATAAAACGCAATTATCTCAATTGTACCAATCTAAGGTATTTCAAGCCAGAAGTGACTGCATTACCTTCAATTTTAGTACGATTATTTTCACTATTTATTTCAAAGCTAATAATCGAATCTTAGATGCTACAGGAGCTTCAGTTGTCATTTTAAGGATCGAATATAGTGAAATATATAGAGAACCAACACTTTACATTCAATTACAACATGAATTTACTGATGTTTCAGGATTATTAGTTACAAAATTATGCATAGTTCCTGATATGGGCGTGATATTACCCAAACCTGTTCAGAGTATATTTGTTATAGAACCTGAACAATGCGATGGCGCTATCTGGTGGTGCTTTCATCAATGCAATACAAAATATATAATAGGAGATAATCAATCATATAAAGACACATATTTAGAGAGGTGGGTGAGCTCATACATATATAGTTGGGTATAAACCTCAAAAGATCAATCCCATTTTGTTTTTATTTTTTGCAAAAATATTTTTTTTAGATTTTATAAATTTTATAGAGCTCATTTATATAAAAGTTTAGTTAATGTTAGATAAAAAAATGGGTTTGAAATAAATGTTGTTCATTTCAGAAAGTCATCACAATGAAGGAAGTTAATTTCAGTCCGACAAAGAATTTGCTTATAACAAAGTAGCAGTAGCAAGTTCTTGGGAGTAGATGGAATTGATTTCTGGTAGAAGTCTGGAAGAGTACCATGGTAGAGCAGTAACCATGGAGGAGACAGCAGCAAAATCAACTTCAGTGTACAAAGAAGTGTAACCGGCTTCGTTGTTGATGGCAGCTTCGGCAACCTCAACAATACCAGCTGGTAGGTCGCTCATGGATAGCTTACCACTAGTGACTAGCAACATGTAAGAGAACAAGTGAGCCTTGGCATCTTGCATAATAGCATCCATTTCAGCAACTTCATATGGAGTAATGGTGGTGGTAGCGGCAGTGGCAACAGAGGCAACGGCTAGAGCAGTTAGGGCGGATAGTTTGAAGTTCATTGTTAGGTAGTTAGGTAAAGTGGGTTGGTTGGATTGTTGTTATCGTTAGATGATGAATTTTTTATTTTTTATGAGGAAAATAGAAAGAAGAGAACAATTTTAAATTTGAATTAGAGACAACTTATATCCTCCTTTTATACATTTATCTTCCATGCCTCATGAACTTCAAAATCGAGAGAAGTATCATTCTTTAATTTTGTTTAATTCGAAAATGTATAGCTGTCTCAAAATTGTATTAGTATTTCGTTGTTCCAACATTTTTAAGGTTATCTCACTATGGCAAATACCCCTATTCCATTTCTTAACTTCTTTCTTTTTCAGTTTATATTTTAGAGTTAACCCAACAATTTGAAATAAACGAATGCTGTAGTATGGTTAACTTTACTACCCAACAATTCTGAGGTTTTTAACTTAAAAAATAAAACCAATTCAGAATTTTCTTAATAAACTACCTTGAATCACAACCTTAAGAAAAAAATATATATATGAATTAAACGATAACTCATTCTAATTTTATTGAAAATGCTCTCGTACCTGGTTTATTTTTATTCATTTGCTGTCACCTTTGTCGTTCATGGCAACATGAAGTTATTTATGCATATCAAAAATTCAATGAACGAAATTTGTTAGAAAGTGGCTGCGGTAATTTACTGTAAAAGGTTCCTCCGCGCAGGCAAAAATCGTGTACCTGTGTCTTCTTTGCTCCTTCACATTCAATCTGAGAATATCGAGAACGTCATGGTAACAATGACTATGAGAGCTGCTGCATGTAATTGCAGGTTCTGCTCACACTATTCATTTTTATTTTTGTTCCAGAAAGAGGCAACCAAGTGTTTAAGGTACCACTAGGCCTATTTGTAGGTCAAGACATAAGATAAATGCAACCATTCGTTCTTGTTTCTTAATTTTGATCTCTAAATACGAGATATAATCAACTCGTTTATTGAACTAGTTAAAAAAGGAAAATTTACTGTGTCTTGGCTGCAATAGAAGGTTTTATTATGGACATTCTATTCCGATTGTTCTGTCTTCGTTTATGTATGTGACTATAATAGGTAATGTTTTATGACCAGACAGTTTTACACTTAAACAATGCGATTTCAAACTTTACTACTCCTTTTCATCTATTGGTTAGTAGTTCTTTTTCTCTCCTACACTTGTGTTCAATTCAAACTAGGTTTTCCTACTCATCATATTTTTTGGCATAGTCCTATTTTATTAATTAGTTGGTAAGTTTAAATTATGGAGTCTTTATTCTTTTCTCTTTTCTTTTTAGCTTATACATATTTTAAACGAGTACATAAGACAAGAAAGTTAACTAAACTGTTTTTGGATACATTACCTAATTCAAGTAAGCCCAAAAAAAGGTCTTTGAAAACGGTGTTTGTAGTTCAATAACATATATTCCGCAGTTATACCTCTTTAATTCCACAGATTAATTGCTAGTTGTTGTGTTAACAGGTGCAATTAAAACTTTAAATCTACAATACTAAGGCACCAATATCAGCATTGTTCCTTTCTATATTAAATTAAACCATGAAATATTTTATTTCAAACGAGTATATCGTTATGGTTGGTATAACAACCTGTGAATAAATGAGGTTAACATATAATTACTACATATAATTACCTAAACTGGCTATTATTCTCAACTAAGCCACCCCCTCCTACTTCTTGTTAAAATTCTTGTACCAATAGTCATATATTCATAAAAATCAAATTCCTATTTTTATTTCCTTAAACATCAACTGAAAGAAAGTTGTTCAACATAAATATCTACCGTCGTTGGTACGTTAAGATATCATATCCTTTTACGATCTTTCTGATTTCTGAAAAGAAAACTTATGTGACTGTTTTGGATGGGTGTGTGGGTGTCACACCCACACACCCACTATTTACATTTTAGAAATATTTTTAATAAAAATACAATTTTTGTTTTTTAATATATATTTTCGTTGTTACCGACGCATACACTACCTTGAGTGAACAAAAATGAAAGACTGCAAGTGTAAAATGCAATATATTCTGAGAGTGAAAATTCGCTAATTTGCAACAATAACCAAAATACATAGAGAATCAGCGTAGAGAAATAATTTTGAAGGAATGTCAGGTTATACTAATCGCTTCCTTTGCTATTAGAATTAGCAATATCAATCAGTGCATCATCACTTACAGTTCCAGTTTCTTGATAGCGAACGTTTAGTGAACATTGAATATCATAATATTTTCTATGGGAGATGAATGCTTGGAAATCTAAGCCAACCTAAGCGATGGATGAGATACTGCTTACATTGTAATGATTATTAACTTGAATTGATAATAAAATATTTATTTAGATGTTGATTATATATAATTAGTACTTTTTATATTTTATTGAATAGACTTTTTCTTGATTAAAGAGGTCGAACAAACTAAAAGCAAAATCATCAAAAATGGCTCCAGGTAAGAAAGTTGCTCCAGCTCCATTCGGTGCTAAGTCTAACAAGACTTCTAAGGCTAAGAACCCACTAACCAACTCTACTCCAAAGAACTTCGGTATCGGTCAAGCCGTTCAACCAAAGAGAAACTTGTCTAGATACGTCAAATGGCCAGAATATGTCAGACTACAAAGACAAAAGAAGATTCTAAACATGAGATTGAAGGTTCCTCCAACCATTGCTCAATTCCAACACACTCTAGACAGAAACACCGCTTCTGAAACTTTCAAGCTATTCAACAAGTACAGACCAGAAACCTCTGCTGAAAAGAAGGAAAGATTGACCAAGGAAGCTGCCGCTATTGCTGAAGGTAAGACCAGACAAGAAGCTTCTCCAAAGCCATTCGTCGTCAAATACGGTCTAAACCACGTTGTCTCCTTGATTGAAAACAAGAAGACTCAACTAGTCTTGATTGCTAACGATGTTGACCCAATCGAATTAGTTATCTTCCTACCAGCTCTATGTAAGAAGATGGGTGTTCCATACGCTATTGTCAAGGGTAAGGCCAGATTAGGTACTCTAGTTAACCAAAAGACCTCTGCCGTCGCTGCTTTGACTGAAGTCAAGCCAGAAGACGAAGCTGCTCTAGCTAAGCTTGTCTCAACTATCAACGCTAACTTCGCCGACAAGTACGACGAAAACAAGAAGCACTGGGGTGGTGGTATCATGGGTGCTAAGGCTCAAGACAAGACCGCCAAGAAGGCTAAGGCTTCTGCCTCTGCTTAATTTAATTAATAATACTATATTAAATAATTTTCGATTTTATACATCCTCTTTTTTCTATAATATTAATTCAAATTTTAGCATCTTTTAAAAGACGAACAAAAAACAACGTACATACCTACATACATACATATAAGTACGTAAATACCTCTTTCTTTAATTCGTATATAATTTAATTTGGTTGAAACTCGTTTTCCATTATACATATGTCGATTCTGTGAACCTGAGCGGCTAATCGTCCGCTTTATCCTAATACTCCGAATTTTGTATATATATAAAAGGGGAACAAAAAACGAAGATACGTTATTTGCCACCTTGAATGAACACCAAATATTCTATAACCAGTTTGATTTTAACTAACAATCAACTAACTCCGAGTACGGTTTCCTTCAAATTGTATCTGCACAGTAACCCATTTATCCACAATGGAACTTGAATTACCACCTAAAGAAATCGTTTTGAAGGATACAACTAACATTAAGGAAAAACTAAAAACAAAAGCTAAACCCAAAAAGAAATTTGAACCAGGGAAAAGCTCTATTTATATTGGTAATATTCCTATCGAATGCACAAAGAAAGACTTACAATCTTACTTTAAGGATGAAAAGGAAGTTCTAAATATATTGTTACGTACCACTAAAATCAAAGTTGCTGGTCAAATAAAAGTGATTAAGTTCGCATTTGTGTCCTTTAACGTTGATATCAATATTAACGAATTAAATACAAGATATTATAACAACCAATTGTTTGGTAATAAATCACTGTTTTTCGAAAAAGTGGGGACTAAGGAATCAAATCTGGAAGACATTGAAAATATCGATGAAAAAAGAATCAAAACATCTGATGTTGCTAAACTTGAACCAACAGGTCCTCATATTTCAACAAATGTCAAGAAAGATACTAAGAAGGAAGAAGAAAATTATCCGAAAAGTTTCCCAAAGAATACACAAATCAAGGTTAATGATGAAAAGAAACCTGTCGAGAAAGAATTTGTCAAAAGTAAACATACTTCAAAAGATCTCGCAAGTTCAAATACTGATACAAAACAACACACATTACAGATCAAAAAAAGTGAAAAAACTATATTTATCAAAAATATACCATATGATATTACTAAGAAGGAATTGGCAGAGTTCTTGAAAGTAAAGGGAAGAGATGTTTCATTACCAAAGGGAAGGTTACAAGATTTAACAACTGGAAGAATATTCATATCTCACAATACGAATAGAGGCTATTCTTTCGTTACTTATGAAAATTTAGGACCGGAAGAAACGATACAACAAAAGGTCGAAGGCTTACAGGGAATGATACTAAAAAACAGAAAACTTATGGTGGACTTCGCAATAGACAAAGAGGAGCACAATGATAGCTCGGTACCAACAACTATAATATCTGTAACTAAGATGTAACAGATAAATATCGTAGAATTTTTCACATTGTTATGACACATAATGCTATTCAATTGGTTAAACCAGCATTGGGAAACGAAATACACAATGCTTAATCCAATTGGAGGTTATCTATCAATATTGTTTTCTTACCTTTCTCCTAATACCATGACTCATTATCGCATCATTAGAACAATAGAGTACTTTAATATGGAGCAACCATCAGTTGCAAAATGTGTCATTGACGTTTGTATGCGTTTCCCTATCTTTCCATATCTAAAATTTTTCAGAATTTCTGATTATTATCTCATCGCTGTTATCTCTACGACTATTATTACCGGCGCAGCCAGATAAAAAAAACCTGTCTAGTGTTTGCTACAATAGAGAAAGGCGGTGTAAAAATGCAAGAAACAAAATTTTCTCTCTAATCAAAATAAAGCTGTAATCTATATAATTTATTTACCTTCACTCTTTACTATCTATTAGATATAACATCGTTACTAAAGCTCACTTGGTAATTGTATTTAAAGCTCAATTTCAACACTTAACCATACTTACAGTTTAAAATCTTTCCTCAAAAAGGAAGTTTTATTTTTAGAAACATCATTGAGTAATTTATTTTAGAATAAAAACTAACTTTATTATTCTCTAAGTGATTTTTAAACTAGTCGATTATATTATACAAATTTAAAAAGAAAATTTAAATAACAAATAATTATATCTAGGATTGCATTTTGAATTGTACGTAAGATGGATTCAACCTTTTTTAATAGTACAGATTCAAAACCAATTTGGGATTACGATGATGTGACCCAATATGGTAGAATAACATACGTGAACTTTATAATACCGTTAATGCTTACCATTGGGGGATGTTACTTTCTTACATTTAATATCTGGTCTCACTACCACAGTTATAATATATTACAGTTGAAGAAGGATGATTTTATACAGCATTTAGTAAATTTGAAAAAACAAGAGACCTGTGGCGAGGTAACCGATGAAAGCCAACCTCTTCTGTTGCCATCCTCTGAACGTGAGGGTGCACAAAACAGAAATTACTCTTCTGTTAATAAAATATCTGAAGGTGACTTACTCAAAGAAAAACATTTTTCAATCGAGAAATTGTCTTTAACCAAATTAAATGGTGAGCCTCATGGTATACCAAGCTTAGTTACTAGGAATTTCACGGAAAAGACTAGAGTCGTAATAGAATTTATGATTGTGATTTCTCAATTTATAATACATGCTTCAGTTATGATTAACAGAAATAAACATTCCTCTTATCGCGAAGAGTTTAATTATAGGGGTACTATTATGGGATTAATCCAATGGCTATTTTTAACTATCATAGTGACACTAAGATTATTAAATATCAATCAATCGATAACAGTTCTTAATAAATACGTCGGCAATATCTGGATGATATCATTTGTTTCATATTTATTCTGCTTCGTAGGGGCAACTATTCCATTTCGTTCCGTACTAATTCATAGTATCCAATCTGAAACAATCAGAAAATATTATATTTCTCAATTTGTTAACAATGGTATCTTGTTTCTCCTATTGTTTTTTGCACCACTGAGAAACAATTATGTTATATCATATAAGACAGACAAACACATAATTCCTTCACCGGAATCAACTACATCTATTGCAAGTTTTATATGTTGGACTTGGTTAGACAAATTTGTGTGGTTTGCCCACAATCATGTTGTTGAACAAGAAGATGTTTGGGGCCTATCGATGGACGATTATTCTATCTTCGTTTTGAAGAAATTTAGAAATTATGTTCATTCTTTTACAAACAAGCGAACTTTTTCTGTCAATCTTATTCTGTTTTTTAAAAAGTATTTGACTATTCAGGCTTTTTGGGCTATTATTGCCAGTTTCTTAACTTTTTCACCTACGCTGTTATTGAAAAAAATTCTGGAATATGTTGATGATCAAGATTCAGCCCCAGTCAGTGTGGCGTGGTTGTATGTTATTTTAATGTTCACTTGTAAACTTTTGGTTGCTGTTGCAAATGGCCAGGCGCTATTTTTTGGTAGAAGGGTATGTATTAGAATGAAGAGTATTATTGTTTCAGAAATTTATTCTAAGGCCTTAAGAAAGATGATTCAAACGAAGTCTGAAAAAAATAAAGATAATTCTCAAGAAAATACTCCAACTCCAGAAACATCCGGCGAAACTGATCCTGAAATCTTAATTGATGCCAAAAAATTAGAAGGTGACGAAGAATCCACAGAATCTTCTGCCAAATTAGGTCAAATTATTAACTTAATGGCTGTGGATGCATTTAAGATTTCAGAAATATGTGCCTATTTGCACTCTTTTGTTGAGGCCATCGTGATGACAGTTATTGCACTTGTTTTACTTTACAACTTAATCGGAGTCTCAGCAATCATTGGTGCTGTCGTTATTGTTTCGGCGTTACCAATCAATTTCAAATTAGCCAACATTATAGGTGAACTTCAAAAGAAAAATCTTCAAATCACTGACAAACGTATCCAGAAATTAAACGAAGCTCTTCAAGCTATCAGAATTATCAAATTTTTTTCATGGGAAGACAATTTTTCTGATGAAATCAATGAAATCAGAGAGGAGGAATTAAGATATCTGATATACAGATCAGTGGCTTGGGTTGCCAGTTCATTCTTTTTCTTTTTAACTCCAATTTTGGTCACTACAACTGCCTTCATGTATTACATATATGTGGAAGGTAAAACTTTAACCACACCTATTGCATTTACTGCTTTGTCCTTATTTAGTTTACTGAGAGATCCATTAGACAGACTATCCGATATGCTGAGTTATGTTATACAATCTAAGGTATCATTAGACAGAGTTCAAGAATTTTTAAATGAAGCTGATACCGAAAAATATAATCAACTAACAATAGATACACATGGTAATAGATTGGCATTTGATAATGCAACTGTTGGCTGGGGTGAGGGATCTCAAGAGTTTAAATTGAGAAAACTAAACATTGACTTTAAGATCGGTAAACTGAATGTCGTTATCGGACCAACTGGGTCTGGTAAAACCTCTTTATTGATGGCTTTGCTTGGTGAAATGCATTTAGCTGATGGGAAAATTATTGTTCCATCATTAGATGCCAGACAAGATTTACGTATCGATTCCGAAGGTTTAACAAATTCAATTGCTTATTGTTCACAATCTGCATGGTTGTTGAATGACACAGTTAGAAATAACATTTTATTTAATAACAAGTACGATGAAGTTAGATACCAAGCCGTTGTAGAAGCCTGTAGTTTGAAACGTGATTTTGAAATCCTCAAAGCTGGTGATGCAACTGAAATTGGTGAGAAAGGTATCACATTATCTGGTGGCCAAAAACAAAGAATTTCTTTGGCAAGAGCTCTATATTCTGATTCTAGACACATTTTGCTAGATGATTGTTTAAGTGCTGTGGATGCTCATACTGCATTATGGATATATGATAACTGTATTACCGGTCCTCTTATGTCTGGAAGAACATGTATTTTAGTTTCACATAATATTGCTCTGACTTTAAGAAATGCGGAATTGGTTGTTGTTTTGGAAGATGGTCAGGTTAAGGACCAAGGTGTTCCACTTACCCTCTTAGAAAAGGGTATATTAGGTGATGATGAATTAGTCAAGAGTAGTATTCTGTCAAGACAAGCGTCATCAGTTAACCTAGCGAAGAAAAATCCAAATGACGTCAGTATGACTAGCTTGACAGCCGCATTAAACAAACAGATTAATAAACAAAAGAGTGGTGATTCAAGTAAAAATATTGCCACAACTGATAACAATGCTAATTCTGAAGAAGACGGTAAACTAATTCAAAAAGAAACAAAAGCTGAAGGTGTTGTCGGTAAGGATGTCTACTTGTGGTATGCTGAAATCTTTGGTGGATGGAAAATTATTCTAGGTTTGGCTTCTCTATTTTTCTTATGTCAAGCAGCAAATATATCCGAAGCTTGGTGGATCCGTGAATGGGTGACTAAAAATAGCATTGTTACTTACTTAACACCTGTCACTACCATGAGCAAAACAATGATTCCAAATGGTTTCAATTTAAGACCAAATATCAATCATTTGTTAAACAAGTTATTTTCATTTAGCAATAATGTTATTGAAACTAAACAAGCTACAAAGCATTCTACTCGTTATTACCTAAGTATCTACTTCCTAATTGGTTTAATTGAAGCTATTGCTGGATGTACTAGAACATTCTGCAATTTCCTTGCTGGTATTAATGCCTCTAGAAGAATTTTTAAGAAATTACTAAACAAAGTTCTACATTCCAAATTAAGATTTTTCGATTCTACCCCAATAGGTAGAATTATGAATCGTTTCTCCAAGGATATGGAGGCCATCGACCAAGATCTTGCCCCATATATGAACGGTGCTTTCTACTCTCTGGTAGAGTGTATAGCAATTGTCATGCTTATTACTTTTATTACACCTCAATTTATTTCGATTGCTATTATGATCAGTATCATGTATTATTTAATCGGATACTTTTACCTGGCTGGTTCTCGTGAATTAAAGAGATTGGACTCTATTACAAAATCACCAATTTATCAACATTTTACCGAAACATTAGTGGGTGTTACTACCATTCGTGCATACGGTGACGAAATCAGGTTTATCAAAGAAAACTTATTAAAGATAGATGAAAACAATAAACCATTTTTCTATATGTGGGTTGCTAACAGATGGTTATCATTCAGAATTGATGTTGTAGGTGCATTTGTTGTATTTGGTTCTGGTATCTTTATTCTATTAAATATTAACGATCTTGACTCGGGGTTGGCTGGTATTTCATTAACTTATGCAATTTCATTTACCGAAGGTGCCTTATGGTTAGTTAGATTTTACGCAGAGGTTGAAATGAATATGAATTCTGTTGAAAGAGTTAAAGAATATATGAATATCGAACAAGAACCTTATATATCAACTGAAGACGGACATAATATCGACCCACCTGTCAATTGGCCACAGGATGGTAGGATTGAAGTCAGTGATGTATCCTTAAGATACGCGGCTAACTTACCAAAGGTGATTAAAAATGTTTCTTTCATTGTTGATCCACAAAGTAAAGTTGGTGTGGTTGGTCGCACAGGTGCTGGGAAATCTACCATTATAACAGCTCTCTTTAGATTTTTGGATCCTGAAACAGGTTATATTAAGATTGACAATATTGATATCACCTCAATTAATTTGAATAATTTACGTCGTGCATTAACCATTATTCCACAAGACCCAACCCTATTTGCAGGTACTATAAAGAGCAATTTAGACCCATACAACGAATACCAAGATAACGACATCTTTGCAGCTTTGAGACGTGTTAATTTAGTTACTCAAAATGAATTAAATAACCGCCTAGATGATGCATCTGATGTTGTTGATAATGACACAACATCCGTGACATCTGAGAATGTGAATAAATTCTTAGATTTAGAAAGTAATGTCACTGAAGGTGGTGGAAATTTATCTCAGGGTCAACGTCAATTACTATGTCTTGCCCGTTCTTTGTTACGTTCTCCAAAAATTTTACTCTTGGATGAGGCAACTGCATCCATTGATTACGAGTCTGATGCTAAGGTTCAAGAAACAATTAGACAGGAATTTGATAAGAGTACCATTTTAACTATTGCGCACAGATTGAGATCTGTTATCGATTACGATAAGATTTTGGTTATGGATGCTGGTGAAGTTAAGGAATATGACCATCCTTACTCTCTACTATTGAATAAAAATAGTTTATTTTACAGTATGTGTGAGAAAAGTGGTGAGTTAGAGACTTTGGTATCTCTAGCAAAGGAAGCATTTGTTAAGAAATTAAACTCTAAATAGATATTCTGGCGACCGGTCCTTCAATGTATATTCATTAAATAGAATTAATTTGTTAATATATGATAAAATTCCTTTTTTTTTATAAAACAAACAACAATGTATGAGACAAATATACATGAATGGTAACGAACACTATAGTCCGTTGATTGATATATTCTCAATAACCTTTTTAATCTGCACTTCAATGTATCCATTATAGGGGATTACGTGGCTTAGTATGGTTAAACATCCACGTGACCGTATCGCTCTGAACGAGCTTGTCCCTATTTTCAACGCGGCTTCCATCTTTTTCAAATTTCGAGTATTTTCTTGAATTAAAGGAGGTAACAAACCGAATTAGGAAGCAAGTATACATTAAAGGATTACAATTATATAAATAAGAAGGAGTTTTAATTTTTGAGCTAAGTAAGAGACAAGTTAAAACAATTCTCCCCAATAAACAATAAAATCATTAATACAAAATGTCTAGATCTGGGTATGTATATAATTGAGTGGATACTATTTGACGTTATTGGGCGAACGTGTCTATTTTTATCTTTTACTTTGAAGAGAGATTGATATGTGTGACTTAAGACGAATGATAATGTATGTTATTGAAAAAAGTGAAACTCGTTACTAACATTGAATTGATGGAATATGATGATGATGATGATGTTGAGGTTATGCTATTGGTGGAATGATATCAACACTCTCTCTGTTATTATTATTTCTATTTTTTTGCCCCTTTTAATGCAGTGTTGCTGTCGCTGACGAATCCCTAACTGCTTTCAACGATTTAAAGTTAGGTCAAAAATACAAGTTCATTCTATTTGGTTTGAACGAAGCTAAGACTGAAATTGTTGTTAAGGAGACTTCTACTGATGCTTCTTACGATGCTTTCTTGGAAAAACTACCAGAAAACGACTGTCTATATGCTGTTTACGATTTCGAATATCAAATCAGTGAAACCGAAGGTAAGAGATCTAAGATTGTTTTCATCACTTGGTCTCCAGATACTGCTCCAATTAGATCCAAAATGGTCTACGCTGCCTCTAAGGATGCTCTAAGAAGAGCCCTAAACGGTATCTACGCTGATGTTCAAGGTACTGACTTCTCTGAAGTTTCTTACGAAGATATTTTGAGTAAGGTTACCCAAACTGCCCATTAAGAGAATCAATCAAAAAACAACAGGAATAATTAAAGAAAACTAAATGACTACTGTTATTAAATGAACTAAGTTATCTGTTTTGTAGTTATTATTACTTATTTTTTCTCCCCAATATTGGATTTAAATATATACATAGTTCTGTATAGTCAATCACATAAAAATACAAAAATTTATTATTAAAAATTTCTGCACGGCCTGTAAAACAATTACTAATGCTATGTAATATCTCTCCAGGACTCAACCAATTTTGAATAATCCGTATCAGTATAAAAAGAACAGAGGATTTGTCAACGTTTAAATTAATTTCTTATTTTTTGATAGTTGCATTTTCGTTTTTGATAGTTGCATTTTCGTTTTTTGATAGTTGCAATTTTTCATAAAAGTTGTATTACGTTTGATGATTTACATAATCTAAGCATATTAGTAATATCCGCTCTATTTCCGTCGCCGTGACAAGCGAATCCACTGGTAAATTATTCTAAGATCACATAAGCAATGCCATTGAGAGAGTAATAAGAATCCATCAAGAATTGCTAATTCTTTCAGAATTGTCGTATAAAAAGCGTATGAATATGCAGATTAGATATCTGAAAAATTTATAATTCCTTTTAACTTCTAATATCTTCCAATATAGAAGACCAAAGAGTTTTTAAATCTGAATATATCTTAAACAGTTTCAAATATCCCCTTTAACCTTCCATTTAATTAATCACACTACATAACAATCATGACTGTCGAAATTTCCTATATTGGTGTTGCTACAACAATCATTAACATTAATGGTGTCCGTTTCCTAACTGATCCATGTTTTGATGTCCCTCAAAAATATGATATGGGAATTGCTGTTCTAGAAAAGACGATCGATCCTTCTATTAAAATCAATGAATTACCTCCAATCGATGCAATTTTATTGAGTCACGAGGACCATCCAGATAATTTGGATACAAGTGGTAGAACTTTATTGCATGGTCGTCATGTTTTCACTACTATGGATGGTGCCAAGAACCTTGCAGGTAACCCAGGTGTATTAGGAATGAAACCATGGGAAAAGACAACTATCGAACTTCAAGGTCAAAAATTTATTATTACTGCAACACCTTGTGTACATTTAGATGGTGGTGAAGTTGTTGGCTTTGTTATTGAAACCGAATCCTTAGGAAAAGGTTCAAATGGAAAGCCTAATGTCGTTTACTTCACCGGAGATACTATTTATTTACCAGAATTGAAAAAGATCAAAGAACAATACAATGTTAAAGCGGCATTATGCAATGTCGGTGTAGCAACTGTACCAGCTAACGAGAACCATCCTGAACCATACAAGATTACAATGGACGGTAAGGACGCTGCTGTATTAGCTAACGACTTAGACGCTAACTTTATTATCCCGCTTCATTTTGAAGCTTGGAGTCATTTTGCTCAAAACGAAGATGCATTGAAGAAGGATTTACAAGATTCTGGCGTTATGGACAAAGTTATTTGGTTGCCAAAGAATGGTAAGTCAGTCAATATTTTTTAGATTACGTAAACCTTTATCTCTAATATATTTCCAAGATTAAATATTTTCAAGTGTTTCCAAGCCTTCTCTTTCGTTTTTATGTAAAAAAATTTCGGAGTTTATAATAGTTTACATCTTTCTTTAAAACGATGGTGTGTACATGTTAAATAATATGAAAAGTTTCCACCATATTTTATAGGTCTACTAGAAATAACTTAGATTTGCGTTCTATATAGTTACGGATTATGCTCAAAATAAATAAATGATAAAACAAAATTATCCGTCCTGCAGCTATAATGTAGTATGCATTACCATAACTACCAAAAATAAAACATAGAAAGAGTACTCACTGACCTCTTTTTTTTTTAGTAAAAAATCATTGTTTTTAACTTAAATTTTTGATTCACATTTCTCCAGGTCTTCTATATGATCACTTCCTGAGTTGTAACCTTCACTCATCGAAACACCACTATCCTGAGTTTTCATTTCATGAACAGTAGATTTAGGTTCTCTTAAAAAGATAACACTAATTAATAACCCAGAGGCACTACTTGCTAATGAAAAATATGTAGTATTTTGGAATCTCGATTTAATGTCTGCTTTCGTTCCTGTCAACTCACCTAGAATAGAGGCTAAAACTGAAAAAGTAACTTCAGATCCAAATTGACCGAATGTTTGCATTATACCAGATGTAATACCTTTATATTCTAAAGGTGCCTCACCGACAGTTATGCGTAACATATATGGGAAATATAATCCCGACCCAAACCCACAGATCAAACCTGTCACAAAAAATAACTTCCAAAATAAATCTTTTTGAACTTCTTTAATTTGAATTAAAATGATAGATGATGCAAACATAAAAACAAACCCAACAATGATACCCCTTTTAGGACTCAAAGAGTGTGGAATGAATATAGAAACACAATTTGACATAACTAAAGCAACAACAATTGGAAGTAATTTTATTGCAGCTATAATAGAACTATTATTTTCTTCAAACAAACTATATTGATTGATAATATAAAAATTCGAAAGGAAACAACAATAATTTAAGAAACAGGTTATCATCGAAGGCCAGAAATTTGGAAGATTCATAACTTGTTGAGGAATTAAAATTTGTCTCGTACTCATATAGTGATAAATTTTATTCAAATGTGCCCATTTCAAACTCACCAAAAATGATGAAAAAAATATGTTGTATGTGAAGAAAACCCACAATAAGACAATACCAACGATAAAACATACATATGCTACAGGCTTCTTCCACGATTCACCACCTTCTGTCAGTCCAACAACTATAAATATACTACCTGCAATAAATAAGAATGAACCTGGATAATCAAGTAATTTAATTAAACGTCTCTTTTCGGCCCAACCATTGCTTTCATCATAATCATCTTCGGGGGATAGATGTTTACCTAATGGTAGAATCAACCAGAAACTACTGATAAATATTAAGAGTAAAACTGCAAATACCAAATAAAATAGACCTTTGTAGCCATCACTAGACATTGCAAAGGCACCACCTAAGATAAAACCGATACCAAAGAAAGCAGCAAATACAATGGATAGGATGGATAAAAATTGTCCCATAACTTCAGGATCTTCAAATAGAGTTGGAATAAGTGCATAACTGGAGGGTACAATTCCTGCACCTGCTATACCTTGAAATGCTCTGAATACTGCGAATGCTTCAAAATTTGGGACTGTTGCACATAATAGTGAACAAATTGAAAAGAATAAAGTTGAGATGGTGAATAAATAATGGTTCCCAGCAATATCACCTAATCTACCAAAAAATGCAATAAAACCAGCAAATGTGATTGCATAACTTGTTAGACCCCATGTGGCTTTAGTATAAGATATTGAAAATTCTTTTTGAATATTCTCATTTAACGCAACCATTGCAGCTACACAACTGGTGTCAAATGCACACGCCATTGCGATGACAAAAAATGTCAAATAAGTATGATTCTTTCCTTCAAACTTCATATTAAATATTTTATGTGAAATTCAAAACAAAAAATTATATAATAATATATAGAAACACGTATAGTATTATTATTAGTAAATAATATCTGTTACCAAGTATGTCGTTGAACAACAATCTCACCCAAGGCTATCAAAAATAATTTAATTTTAAATCCTCAATGAGGAATAAATTTCTAAAAACACCTCTGGGGTGGCTACAGACATGTATTTATATACGTTCTTATAATAGCAGCTTTGGTATGCCTGACAGATATCCCCAATACATAAATCGTTTGCGATGTTCATTAAGATGATTAACTAATTTATTCGGCCGAAACCTGACCATATATCACGTGACTTGACCTATTTTACTTAAAGTTTCGGCCGAAACGAACCTGACTAAAAACTTTCAACGGAGATATTCCCTCTAAAATGACTATAAGAGACACTGAGGCTTGTTTCAAATATAGCACCTTTACGGCCAGTTGTTTCGGATAAGATTATTTTGCCTAGGATTAAACAATAATTACTGTGTACAAGGAGAGGTGGTCACGTTTTGAGATTGAGATTAAATCCGAACTGCACTCTTGGAATTCTTAGAGTGCAATGCGAACAAAACCACAACGGATATATATAGAAGGTAGTTCATTATTATATAAAAACGGTTTCACAATTCTAACAAATATAAATGACTACGAAAAATAATAAACAATAGTAACTACTTGATCGCAGCCTATAACTTGATATGCAATATGTGTCTAAAATATCTCTCAGAGCCCGAATACTTCCTTACGTAAGTGTTAACTGAAATTTTTTTACATAACACCGACGGGGCAAGTCGGCGATGCCCCCTTACAAGGGTCAGCTTGCCTATGAACTTGATTATATAAAAGCAAGGAATGTGATCTCTCTCTTGATGATCATGTGGCTATTCCTACCCTCTTTTAAAGATTAATCTTATATAGATAGTCAAATACATACGCATTAATATATCCCTTTAATAAATGAGTGGCTTACCACAATTGAAAACGTTGAACAACGGCGTGCAGATTCCTGAACTTGGTTTAGGACTATGGCAAACTCCCGAAAGCAAGACAGCTAATATTGTTTACGAAGCTTTAAAAGTTGGTTATCGTCATTTTGATTCAGCTCAATGGTATGCAAACGAGAAAGGTGCAGCTAAAGGTATTATCCGTTGGTTGAAAGAAGATCCGAAGAACCACAAAAGAAAAGATGTTTTCTTCACCACCAAGGTTAAAGACCCTAGTCATGGATACGAAAATACCAAACAATCTATTAAAGAATCTTTAGAACAAGTAAAAGGTATTGGCTACATTGATTTAGTATTAGTTCATTCTCCACAGAGTAACAAGAACTTGAGACTTGGTACGTGGAAGGCCTTACAAGAACTTGTGAATGAAGGTGTAGTCAAATCAATCGGTGTTTCTAACTATGGAGTCCCACATATACAAGAGATTTTAAAATGGGATGAAATGACAATAAAACCTGTTATTAATCAAGTTGAAATAAACCCTTGGTTAACAAGAAAAGAAATCGTCAACTTCTGTCACAAAAATGGTATTGAAGTTGAAGCTTATTCTCCATTGACAAGAGGTAAAAGACTAAACGATCCAGCTTTAATGAAAATTGCCAAAAAATATGGTAAGCAACCGGCACAAATTCTAATCAAATGGTCCATTCAAAAGGGTTTCATTGTTTTACCAAAGACTACTCATGAGGAAAGATTACTATCTAATATTGATGTATTTGATTTCACCATTTCTGATGAAGATATTACTCAAATGACCTATGATGATGAATATCAAGTCTTCTGCTCTTGGGATCCAACTACCTATAGAGGTTAATATGAATAAATTTTAACGTAAGAATATATATATATATGTATTTACATATATTGAAATGATTAAAGAGTTAACTCTCCATGTATTAAATACCAACATATCTCTATTTGATCATGTAAGTTAAGCCCTATTAGAAAGACAAACACTAACTATAATTTACGTTTGATATGTAGTTTACGAAGTAACCTTCCCATATTCTCGTGATTCAACACAACAAACTGTCTGACATGGAATATATAATAAGCACCGACCATAGCAAACATGTTAAATATGATGTACGCAAAATAGAGGCCAAAATTTCTCCATAGATTTGAATATGGCGCACTAATATAAGAAAGGTATTCGTCACCAACAGAATATTGACAATAACCACAATTGGTGGTAGCGTCAGGGTCAGTAAGATATCCTGTACCTGTTTCAAAGAATATTTTCATGTACTCTCCACATGTTTGCCCTTCAGGTGGATCAAAATATGTAAGTTCTTTCATAGAACAAATAACTGGTTTACCATGCAACATAATACCAACTAAACTTTGGATATAATATGTATATGGTGAAGTTTTCCACATAAAGGTCCAAAATCCAGGCATCAAACGCATTGGTTGAACAACGCCCGAAAATGCTATTAAAAATGCCAGACATAAACCCATAATAATATTTGCAGATGGTAAGTTGGGAGACATATACAAAATCAATAGTCCTAAACTCGTAAAATAAAGTTGGAACATTACAGAATAATGTAAGTAATACACTGCAGATCTAGATGCTTCAAAATTACTTCTTAGTGGAAAATAGGAAGAAACGAAGAAAATAGTTGAAAACAAAAATTGATAGGGAATTTCGCTAAGATATTCTGTAGCCATAATCAAGGACCAATGGAACATATTAGATTTGGATTCACGAACCTCAAACAAGTCCCTCGATGCGATTGCTCTCACTTGCATTTGATTCATCAGAGGTGCAGATAAAATAATTGACATTAAAACAGCAAACATGGTATTTTGCATACCTATACGAGAATTCCCAGGATCGAAAAAGGTAAAACCAATATATAAACCAGCCACTGTCATTAACATTAACTTAGATACGATATAACTTGTACTTCTCCAAAAGGTTAGAGCTGTCCGTAGATAGACATACTTGAATTGATACATGTAAGAAGTCGCATATTTTGTGGGTTTAACACCATTTTCTGTATGAGTGTGTTGGGCTGTTAAATCTGTTATCATTTGATCAATTGAATCTTGAGCTTCAGTATGTTCAGCGGAGTTTAACCATATTTGATGCCAATCTTGCTCAGCAACTTCTGTAGCCCCAGCCCCAACCATTTCTAGGATATATTCAGCTGGATTCTCATCCGAAGTGCATGTTCTTGCCCCATTTTTTTCAAAGTACTTTAATAGCACTTCTGAATTTTTACCAATATCACCAAAATAAACTGTCTGACCACCTCTTTGTAACAATAGTAATCTATCAAATTGTTCGAATAGTGTTGCTGATGGTTGATGGATAGTACACAAAATTGTTTGTCCTGCGTGCTCTAATTTTTTTAATAGTTGTATGATACTCCAGGCAGACTGGGAGTCTAACCCTGAAGTTGGCTCATCCAAAAATAGCAGTACATCTGGTTTTGCAACTAGTTCGACACCTATGGATAATTTTTTTCTTTGTTCAACATTCAACCCACTGCCAACTGTTCCGACTAAGACGTCAGCATAATCTTTCATATCTAAAATATTGATAATCTTCTCCACATAGGCACATTTTTCTTCATCCGATATTGTCTCTGCACGACGCATACGAGCAGAAAATATCAACGATTCTCTCACAGTTAACTCGGCAATGTGTACATCTTGTTGTTGAACGTAACCAGTACGCCTTTCAAAACTGGCATCGATTGGTAGACCATTCAATAACATATCACCAGTTATTTCACCTACATTTCTCTGTGCAAGGGTATTTAACAATGTTGTTTTGCCTGCACCAGATTCACCAACTAATGCAGTCAGTGTACCAGGTATGCAAAAACCAGATACATTATTTAATAATAGACGTTTACTACCATTATAAGGAACTGAGTAACACATGTTTCTCCAAATAAAAGTACCTTCTGAATCAAAATGATCAAAGCTATTATCACTGTCATTAGAGTTAGGTTCACTAATATATGTTTCTTTAGCATCTATCGTTCCATCTAACGATTCTTCATCTTTATGTTGAGCAAGATGTTTCGTACCTTTTTTAAATATCAATGCGTCACCTGTTCCTTTCACAGGAGTTTTGAATTCTGTTACAATAGCTCTTAAGATGTTATAACCAATTAAAAAACACCACATTATACCGAAATTTCTCCATGTATCCTCGTATTCATATTGAAATTGGTCCCTTAGATAATCATCTCCAAGGACCCATGATTGACCAGGGACCGCACCGACAAAAGCACAAGCTCTATTATTATCGCTTACATTCTGGTATGTTGGACCCATTGGAATTAAAGTTCCACCACAGTCCATATGTCTGCCATGGAATTCTGCGTTTAGCATAGACTCAAATGCATATCTAATTGGAATAATATATGATATCCATTTAAACCATGGATGCATTGAAGGTAGTTGAATCATATATGTAGAATACATCGAAATGGACATCATCAAAATACCTGCAATAGAATGTGCTTGAGCTAAGGTATCACAGCCTGCAGCTACCATTTGAAACATCCCATTAATACTTTCTGAACACATTGTCAAAAACAAATAAACAATGAAAAATGAACTAGCCGTACGATTTAAACCAGATAAGAAATAAATGATAATTAAAAATAAAGTCATACCTATCATTCTAAATGGGAAACCCGAAATTGCATCTGCTAATGCTTCTGCAGCTGGATGATATAACGTATAGTATTTGTGTTTCATCATGATTGGTCTATGTGATAGATCCATGTTTGCTAAACTCATTAAAGAATAATATAACAAACAAAAATATAGAACACCACCTCTAGAGAAAGCACCGGATGTTGAAGTCGGGGAAGAATAAAATAACGAACCAGATACAAATGATTGCACCACTGCAGCTATTATATTAATGACGGTGGCTGTTTTGTTACCATATATCCTTTGGAATGCACGTCTTGTACATAGTTTAACTTGTTCTGGGAATGAAATAATATATGCAGACTTGTTTCTTGAATATTTGGATTTATCTTGTTCTATTGACTGCCGATATAATTCTCTTGTATCTTCTGTATTGACAGTCGTTTTATAATTTTCTATTTCTTTTCTTAAATCCGTATATGTTTGCGAATGAATCCAACGTTGTTCAAATTCCTGTGCAGTACGAGGCACTAAATGTTCAAAACCTGGTTTAATGATATGATATCCATTTGGGTCAGTTATCCCTGTCAAATATTCCGCAGTAGATTGTCTTGATGGACATAAAAAGCCCATTTCTTCGAAGTAATCCTTTGCAGCCACAGTACTACCGAAATATATTTGTTTACCTGAATGTAAGATAATAACTTTATCAAATCTATCATATATATTTTCCGATGCTTGATATATCGTAACGAATGCCGTGGAACCCAACATATTAGTCATTATCCTTATTGCTTTAGCATACTCTAGTGCAGTAGATGCGTCAAGTCCCCTAGTTGCATTATCCCAACAAAATATTGAACCATTTGTGGCAAGAGCCTCAATAATGGAGACTCTTTTCCTTTCACCACCGGATATACCTCTTACGAAATCATTTCCGACTCTTGTATGATATGTATGAGTTAATCCAAATATTGTAGCGTAAAGATCTCTTAATCTTGTTACGTACTGCGATTTAGTTAAACCATCTATCCTCTTAGCTGGAGTTTTACAAGCAATGGCAAAATCAATGGTTTGCTGTACTGTTAAATAAGGGAAATGTACGTCCTCTTCACCATTATATATAATATCTGATCTGAAATGATCCATCATTTCATCTTGTGGTATACCGTCATATGAGATATCACCTGAATAACCACCTGCGAATTGATTTTTAATCCCCGCTAACAATTTCAATAAAGAAGAGCAACCTGCACCCGGTCTCCCTAATACCAAAACCATTTCACCAGGTCTTGCTAATCCATTAACTCCTTTTAAAATGGTTCTCATCTTCTTTTGCCGTACTGCTCTAACTTTTTTGTATATAGTGTAAGGTAATAAGAAAATATCAGATACAGTGGATCCTTCTAAACTTGTACTATCATGTCCTTTACAACCAATATCTTCAAACGTCACACCTGATTTCCTTAAATGTAGACCCTGTTTATCTGCATTATCCGCATATGTTTCAAACTCTTTCTTTATATCAAATGCTTCTGTAATAATCGACGATTGCAAATCTATATCTTCATCTTCATAACTATCTCTAGTGGTATGTTGTGATAGTACTTCTCCTAATCTTTCTAACTGAGAGGCTTCCTTTGAAGATAATGGTGAAGAACCCTGTCTTGTAGTGACGTCTACCGGAGTATCAATAGTCGATTCTGTGGGCCACGTATCAATCCGTTGTTGATCGTTCAAAGACGGATCTCCCTGATTCTCATCGTTTCTATTTTCAATATGATCGGTTTCAAACTCCTTGTCTTCCATCATAAAAAATATATATGTAAAATATGTAAATTTATTATTATTACTAGTTGTGCTTTTGTATCTATTATAATTCCATAAACTAATAGTAAATTTTGCTATGTTATCTAAACTTTCTAGATCAATGTTTAATAAAATCCCAGGATAGGAAACCCCTTTGTAAAACTGGCTAGCCTTTATATATATATATATTATTGGTTCTATATCTAGGGGTTACCTCGAAACGGCTGTAAAATAATGTGACTACCTTATTATCCTCATCACCACCTCCTCATCGTCATCTCCTCTTTCTGCCCCTTCAGAAATGATGCTCAATGCGGGCAGACGCAACTGTTACCGCAAGCGAAGGAGTTTCTCCCCATTGAAGGGCGGCGGCTAAAAACGAACCCCCCAAGTGGCTCTGTTGGTGCGGGTCTCTCTGGGGGATTCTCGCTCACAGACGAAAAAACGGTCACTTTTGATTACTAAATCAGCCTGAAGTCCACGGAAATAAAAACTGCTGAACAGAAGACACTCTTAAAGCCATGGATTTAAGAATAGAAGAATAATCCAATGAACTCGTATTTGCTTATTCTTGTATAAATGATTCAGTTAATGATTTCCAATTGTTGACACTTATATTGGTGGCTTTACCTTGCCATTTACCACCCTTGCTACCACCACCGCCTTTAATATTAGGCAACGCCTCATTAAATATGTTGACAGTCTCTTGAATAGTGTCACCAGAATCTGATAGTACCATTAAGGATGCAACCTGGGTCTTCTTATCAAATCCGCCTATTACAATAACATACGAAGTTTTGTCCTTCAACAACCTATTAGTTAATTCTTTGTGGATACGTGATAAATATTCCTGAGTACAGTAATCTTCTCTAAACAAAGAAATATTATTAATGCCTGATGAAGATAACGATCCATTTTGAAATTTTGCCATGATTTCATTTGAATCGTTTACCGCGGTCTCCATCATCCAATATCGTTCACTCTTAGACTTATTGGAAAGTTGTGAACTTAATTGTTGCGTCTTTTCAGGGATTTGTGTATCTGAACTACTCAATATTTGCTTAGTAACAGTTAATAAGTTATTGGCTTCACTACCATATTTATAGACACGAGACCCACACGTGAAATATAATCTGGAGTTAATAGACCGCACTGTGGTTTGAGATTTAATCACCATTATTGAACCTAATTGAGAGGTATTTGAAAGATGAGTTCCACAGCATTGATTAGAATCCAATGAACCAATGTGAATGGTTCTTACAATACCTCCATTAGCGAAATCATAATCATCGGGAATCTTACTTGATGAATCCAATTCTTTTAATTTTGTTTCTTCTACTTTAATAGGTTGTGGAATTAAAATTATGTATTGATTAATTTCATCATTTAAATAATCAATCTCTTTCTCGGTTAATTTTCTAGTCAATTCAACAAAATTCAAATAATCGTTGAGATCTCCATCAGAATCGATATCAGTTGGCACCGACATAGACCATGAAACTGTCTCTAATCGATATTTCTGTTCTAGGATTGCACTTAATAGATGCTGGCCTGTATGTTGTTGCATCAAATCTAGTCTTCTATCTTTGTTGACTTCAATAGTAACTTGGGTACCAACTTCAATAGGCTGATTTACATGATGCTTAGCATACAATCCATCACGGGACACATAGAAAACAGGTACTTCGATCGTCTCATCATTGACTTCATAACTTAGAATACCTGTATCACTAGGTTGACCACCACCTTCTGGAAAGAGAATGGAATCCTTCAATTCTATAAGATATACAGGTAATTCAACTTCTTCAGCAGCTTTACCTTTTTTCTTACTGGCCGGCTTCTTAGATTGTTCGTAACAGGACACCACTGCAGTTTTAAAATCATTGAATTTGAAAGAATCTCTTTGACAGGCTAGTGCACCAACAACAGTTGACTTACCACTCATTTTTCACTCACTTTGTTGATACTATATCTATATATACTAGCAATTGATATTATACCTTACAAGTTCGGTCAGTACTTCACATGCCATGCCATGGTCATATAATACATCTATATATAAACTATGGATTTGGCAACTCGTTATGATTACATGTTATCTGTTATCTGTTATCTAACATTGTCGATTTTATTTTTTTTGCTTGAGGCTGTGCGGATTTTCTTGGTGTAGCAAAGTGGACATGACATCGAGATAGACATCAAATAGTTGACATATTAAGAGAGATATGAGAGGAAGAGAGAAAGAGACTCGTCCATTATCTTCAAAACAATGTATAATTTACAAGAGAAAGTAGCAATTGCCCTTATATCAAACCCTTTGAAGAAGGTCAATCATTTGGAAGTCGATTATGTAAAAATTTATCTAACCACTATTCGTTCATTGTAAAAAAAAATAATAATCATTACATTGTAACTTAAACGAACTATCACCATAGTCTAAAAACATCATATCTATAATCATAATTGAATTTAATGCTATGTGTCTATCCGCAGAATCATTATTTGCCAAGTAGGGAAGATATTTCCCATTGAACCCAACAATATTTTTCTGGGGAAGGTATTACATGTTTGTAAAATTAGTTATGTTCTGACCTTAGCAACTTTCAAGCTTGCCTGACCTCAATTTGGCGAAAATGAGAATGTGAAGTACCTAAATATATTCTTTTCCTATGAAGCTATATATTCGGAAGACGAAACTCATTTTAATAAAAACTTATATAAGGCGCTTCATAATCATTGATGTAATTTCACTTTTTGAAAACTACATACATAGACCATAAAAGGGCAAGACTCATCAACTTCTTAAGATATAAAATATGTTCGGAAATTTCACATACTCACCTTTTAATGCTCATAAATAATTCTGACAGCCAAAGCTTTCCCACACCTACATGTAAAAAGAGAAGAGCACTATAGGCAGTATCGTGATCCCTGTAGAAAATATTGCCATGTTTCGCAGAACTTCTGGTAGATTATACCAACCGTGGTTACCGTAATGATCACACATATCTTCATTTATGGAATTAGACTAGGTATGTTCTACCTAAGGATCTTCTTGGCACCTCACTTCAGAGCCAATAAATTATGAAATAACACACACAAACGTAAAACTGTCTTCAACCTTTATAGATGGTTGACAAGTTTCAACGTTTTATCTGTTCTTTGATGCTTGGTGCTTTGCGCGATGTCTTGTTCGCGACACGACTCCAAAGGTGACTCTCTGCCAGATCTGTCGTATATTTGTTTATTTTCTTTTACTTGGTTCTACGCGTCGCTTTTTTGATGATCAAATCCAATACATCTATTTCAGGTCAGGTCATTGAAATACTACTATAAACAGTAAATTACCACAGGTGTTTAATGATCAGAAACAACATAAAAGGTCTATTATCCAACTCTTCGTCGGAGAACCTATAGTACAAGACAATTCTCAGACCACTATTACGTACAAGTATATTTGGGGTCCGATACACGGTTCGTTTGTTTATTTAGGCAGATACTGAGAAATAAATAACGACAATAACCTAATGCTGCTTATATTTCTTGCTATATATATATATATATATATATGCTGCTTCCTATGAGATTGAATTTTCCTTTTTTTTTAATTCCAAAGTTGATTTTTCTTAACATAATCTAATCAACTATCTAAAACAAACTTTTACGCTCGCTTTATTCAAGAAATAAAATAAAAATGACCCAATTACAGAGCCTTGTAGCTTCTGTTTCGGTTCTATCTTTACTTTCTGTTGCCGACGCTTGGTCTCCAACAAATAGTTACGCTCCTGCTAAGGTTAACTGTGATGGTAAGACAGGTCTTACCAGAGAGGCTGGCAAAATCTCCGATGCCGAAGCATCGTGGTTAACTAAGAGAGATCCTATCACCAGCACTGCTCTAAAGTCTTTCCTTGACCGTGTTACATCCAATTTTGAAGACAATTCTATTGTTGAAAAAATCTTTAGCCAAGCTGCTCCAAAAGCTGGTTATGCTGCTTGTGGTGGTGGTTACCGTGGTATGTTACTTGACGCTGGTACAGCTGCTGCTATGGATGAAAGGACTCCAGGTGCCAATGAATACGGTCTAGGTGGTCTATTACAAGGTATCACATATATTACTGGTGTTTCTGGTGGTGCTTTCTACACTTCTACTGTTGCTTACAACAACTGGACTTCCGTTCAAGAGATTATTGATCAAATGAATGACGGTGATCACTCTATTTGGGATTTATCCAACTCTCCATTGAACCCAGGTGGTTCTGACACAGAATATACCGACCAATTGTTCGCTGATGTTGCTGCCTCTGTGAAGGCAAAGTCTGACGCTGGTTTCAAAGTTTCCCTAGGTGATGCCTACGGTTTAATCTGTGGTTACTATATGTACCCATCCTTACCTCAAGGTGGTGCCACTTACCAATGGTCTGATATTCAAGATGTCGATGCTTTCAAGAACGGTGAAATGCCAATGATCATGGAAGTTACCGCGATTGTTCCTCCAGGTGAAACTACTGCTGGTCTAGATGCTACCACTGTTGAATTGAATCCATTCGAATTCGGTTCATGGGAACCAAGTATTAATGCCTTCTCTGATATGAAATATCTAGGTACCGAACTATCCAACGGTAACCCTGTCAATGAAGATGAATGTGTCTTAGGTTTTGATAACGTTAACTTCATCACTGGTGCTTCCACTGATGTTATCAACTACATCAACACCCAAGGTAACCCAGTATACACTTCTATGGTTGCTCAATTCAAGAACAAATTCTTAGGTAACATTACTACAGAAAGTGTGGACACCAATATTGTTTCTCCAAATCCATTCAAAGGTACTTCTTACTACAGTTCTAGTCAAGGTGACTCTCTTGTCGAGACTGAAAATCTACGTTTAGTTGATGGTGGTTACGGTGGTCAAGTTATCCCAATTACCCCATTGATGAGACAAGAACGTAACTTAGACGTTGTTATTGCTACTGACAACTCTTTTGATACTCCAGAAATTTGGCCAAATGGTCACTCTATTATCTCTACTTACACTCGTCAATTCCACGACATTGGTAAGACTGATGCTTTCCCATACGTTCCAGATACGGAAACTTTTGCTGCTCTAGGTTTAACCGAAAACCCAACTTTCTTCGGTTGTGATTCTTCCAACTTGACTGACTTGGCTTATATTCCACCTTTAGTTGTTTACTTACCAAACAGAATGTACTCTTATTCTTCTAATATCAGTACTTACACATTTACTTACACTAAGGAAGAACGTCTAGCTATGATTCAAAACGGTTTCGAAATCGCCACCAGAAATAACATGACTGACGACTCTGAATTTGCTAGTTGTATCGGTTGTGCTGTCATAAGACGTAAGCAAGAACAATTAGGTCTTGAATGGCCATCTGAGTGTGAAAAATGTTTCGAAAGATACTGTTGGAATGGTACTTTGGCTAGTGATTTAACCAGTATATCAAGCTCCACCAATGGTTCATCCTCCACCACCACTACAACACAAGATGATTCATCTTACACCACCGAATTGACAACCTTAAATTCTAGCGATAACTTCTCAACTATTCACATTGAAACATCGACCACTATTACTTGTCATGAATGTGAAGAGGCTCAAGCTACTGCGACCGCCGAAGTTTGCGAAGAATGTGAAGAAAGTGAAGTTACTACTACTATCGAATGTGAAGAGTGCGAGGAAGCACAAGCACAAGCTACTGTTACTGCTGAATGTGAAGAATGCGAGGAAGCACAAGCTAACGGTCATCATTACACAACTACCACATCTATGACAACTACAACTGAAGTTTGCGAAGAATGCGAAGAAGCTAAGGCCACTGCTACTGCTACTTCCAACGGTTCTTCCAACGGTTCTTCCAACGGTTCTTCCAACGGTTCTTCCAACGGTTCTTCCAACGGTTCTTCCAACGGTTCTTCCAACGGTTCTTCTAACGGTTCTTCCAACGGTTCTTCTAACGGTTCTTCAGGCAAGGCCTCTTCTTCAGTACCAACAATCTTACAAGTTACAACTGCTCTACCAACCTCATCTGCATTCAGCATGGTTCTGAACGAAAATGCAGGTAACAATGTGGGTATCACTACTGGCCTAACTTTAATGGCTATTTTTGGTGCCTTCCTTGGTTTCATGTAGTTCCAATTTTCTAATTGGTCCGGGACATTTGTATTATTTACCAATATTTACTGTTTGCTTTTATATTTTATATAGGCTTTCTCAATGTAATATTATCCTATTAGTTATGCTAAACATTCTGTATCGTACAAGAACTACAAGGAATTTTTATATATATCACTCACAAGAAAATATTGTTCTGATACACTTGGAGAAAGAAACAAGGGTTCGACGGCAATATTTTATAAATACAGTTGATACAAAGACAGTACACATATTAACAACGAATAATTTTTAGACCATAAATAATACTAAGCTAACCAACACATAAGAATCGTTACCGGTACCAATGATGTCAATTTGTTTTGTTTCCATGGTATGCTTAACGACGTTATTACAAAATGTGAACAGAATGGCTTCCCTCTAACTATATCTAACTTCTTAGTAGGAAATATAGGTTGGTTCGTCACTCGACTCTCACAGACATATACCTTTCAAATAATGAATCTGAAATGTTATTTTGTTACAGATTCATTATTCAAATAACATCCTATACTACCAAGGGGCCACCGGTTACAATTTTACGCTGTATTCAATTCAATACTGCGATAATATATAGGTTTACACTGGAATTACAGATATGATTGCAGGCAAACATATTCTATTTAAAATTGTTTATCTTATTGGGGATAAGGTTGTTATTCGACCAATAAGTTTTATTGATCTAGACGGTGCTGTTCAGCATAGCTTCGTTTGTCATAAAAAATATTACTCAGACCTTACCGGTTCGGAAGAATCTGATGTAAAATACTCCTATGTACTACAACAAAATTTTACCACTTAGTTCCTTACTATTATGATTATATCAATTATAGCTACATTTACACTTTTTGAATCTGCTTCAACCATCACAAACAATATTACCACCATGTTATTAAACGAAACTAAGGATATCACAACTACCTAGGTGTACAGTGTTTCTGATGAGGTGAAAAAAGACTTTATCAAAGAGATTCTTGAACAGTTCCATGTATGAGAGTTGTTACGGTTACTATTATCTTAACAAAGGAAAGTGATATCATTACAGTCTTTACAATTCTAACGGATGTTGTTAGATTAGATCCTGCTATAACAACCATGACTGCTACTCTCCAAACTACTACTGTTACAGATCTAGGATCTGTTATCACCAAACCTCGATGTTTATTATTGAGCTGAAGGAGACATACTGTGGTTAGACTTATATTCGTTCATATTATATAGTGGCAGGTAGAGAGATATAGGTATTAGCTTGACAACGTGTGTTAAGAAAGCATAGTGTGTATGTTATACTTTTCTTTTATATGTAAGTGATTATTTATTGTATATAATTTATAGAACGAACAGAATCTAACTTAGAATGTAAGTTCAGAATTCTTTGTCTTTATATATCATTTATTTTATCGAAGTTTCGTTTCTTCTTGTTACCAAAACGATACCTAAACGATTGTCAAGTAATTGATTTGTTACCTAAACGATTGTTGGTTAAACGATTATGGCCTAAACGACTATTACTTAATAAAATGTTTAGTTCTTATTAGGACATTTTAGATATCTTGATTCCACATAATTTCTGTCAATTATATCTAATCCCAGCATTCCCAATGTTTCGTGGGGAAATAAAACCAGTCAAAGTGTTCAATATTCCATTGTGATAAGAACAACTATTTCTGTCATAACTTTAGAAAAGTATCTTGCATTTACTACACCATCATCTTCACAATTATTTTTCTCTTGCCTACTACTCTGTCTGACATCTTTTCGGCCACGCTCACTAGTACTACTGGAAAGAACGTAACAAATAAAAGGACTGCTATCACTGATCTATCTGTCACCACAATGTGACAGTTATTAGCGAATCTAATGCAGGGAACGACATCTACAACAAAAAAATTACTACAACACCCGATTCTTTGGATAATACATAAAAATAGCTATATATTGTAACGAAAATGGTACAAAATGTAAAAAAACATAATTTCATTTAATAGTAGGATGATATATATAACTAACAACACGACTTTATAGGTTTATTTCCAAAAATATGTAATACCAGCATTGCATAGTATAATAATATATATATATAGTAATCATCTTAAAATTCACAAAGCTTTATGATTCTCACCGTATTCCTCACAAATTTGTTTAGCACCTTGTACTAAACATGATAATGTCTTACCAATAATATTATTCGATTCTATACTTGGATAGAAATCATTTTTAATATTTTTATGTTTATAGATCCCCAAAACATAATTCAAAACACCCCTCAAAGTCACAATCTTGGTTAGGCTGTCTGATTCACTTATTGTAAGTGTCATATAGTCCTCATAGTGTTTGGTGTCCGAATTTTGATCAACCACATCCCAATGAACAATGGAATTAGGACTTAAAATGTTTGTGTTTTTACAGTCTGTATCGAGTAAATCCCACGATAGAACATCGATTCCAAAATCAACTACAGGAACTACTAGCTCTTGATGATAAACTCCTCCTGATTCAATCAGTAGGTCTAACATTGGTCTATAAAATATGTCGCCGCACCCACAATGAGATATATGTAGTTTAGGAAAACCGATCCATATGTTCTTATTCTTAACAGCAGGTAATACAGAAGGTAGTGGTACAAATTGAGTACCCCCTCTCATTCCACCAAATGTATTCATTTCAGATAAGTCCAATGTTTCACCATCAAAAACTGTTTCACATATACCGTCATTTAGGGAACATTTGATAATATCTAACGGATTAAAAGAATAAATGAAATGAATAAATCCTCGCGACAGCTTGCTTTGTGGCTTATCAGAAGGATGAAAAAATGGAGTCCAATTCTTTTCCGAACCTCTTAATTTACGTCCATGTATTGTTAATCGCTGTAGAGAATCCAATCTCCTGTGTGGCATATAGCTAAACATCCGTCTACCTCCACTAGTAGGATCATCCATGTTGAATATAACAATAGGTTCCTCGTAAGTTCCTGTATTTCTTAGAATTACATGAGGATCTTCTGGTCCCTTCCAGTCACCGTTTGCATCGAAAGGAATATCCAATACGTTTGGATACGTAATATAGTAGCGGGACAAAAGAATATCTTTTCTTCTTTGATTCTGTAAATGAGACTTCACTTGACGTGTGTTGCAAACTTCATATTTTTTTAGATCATCTAAATACTCTTTACAATTTTGTATCCCAAGCTCGTCTTCAAATTTCTTTAATTCATGGTCCATATCTGTTGGAAAATCAATGTCAACATATGGAATTTTTTTACCGATAAGTTCTTGCCAATTTTTATCAAAAGCTTGGGCCCTTACTAACGAAACATGTGGGTGATTTTTTTCACCTTTTCTCGAATATACAATTCTGCTGAATACTAAATAACATTGTTCACTTTCCAACCAAATGGAGGACCCACCAAATCTAAACCATTGTGATTCTACAATATCCTCCTCTTTTTTATTTTTATCAGAATCATCTTTTAATTCTTTAGCCAACCAGTTCCCTTGTTTCAATAAAGATCTTCTCAACGAAAGTAAATCGTCTCCAAGAATCCTCATCTGCGCAGAGTGTTCGATAGTACCATTGTATTGAATAGATTCACATGTAACCAGTGAATCATAGGACTTACGGCCCTCTTTTTCTAATTTCTTAACGTCTGGGATAGTTTCTGAAGAAGCTCTTGCTTGTAATTGAATTTTATTATTACTATAACGTTTTCCCTTCCCATTTAGATTTAGGTGTTTATGAGAGTCAACGTCAACATTGGAAACAAATCCTACTAGGTTATTTACCGAATATTGTTGAGTTAAAACCTCATTAGTGATAGGAGACATTTCAAAATTTATATTTTTAATGGAATTAGACACATCAACATCTAATAACGATTTTTTTGAGACCACTGTCTTAAAATTGTTATTATTAGATTCCCAGTTTAGATATTCTATTAGAGAAGCATTGACTGGGGAATTTTCTGATAGAAACCATACTGAAAATATAATGAAAGCAATAGGTACTAATGTAATTGATCTTTTAAAATTCTTATTAACAGTAAAGGTTCGGTAGTAATGACAAGATATGGGAACTAATTTTCTGAAATGGTAACAAATGTGAGTGATTCCTTTACTGAAAACTTCAATGAAATACCTTGCATATTTGAATTTTGATAGAAAAGTGGGAGGGATGTCCTCAAATACCATTTGTTCAAATTGCATTGTGGAGACACTAAGATGTGTTATTCTTATCTTTGATATTAGATATATCTGTTCGAAATTTAAAAAAATAAAAAAAAATTATAATACACGGAATGTGACCAGTCCAAATTTTTTGGTAAAACAGGAATTAGGTATGTCATTAATATATGAATGAATTATAATTATTTCTATATGAATAGCTCATCGTTAAAAGCAGTAATTTTAGCATTTAGAGTGTTCAAGGAACCGAAGTAATTTCTATTTAACGATCTTACAAAAGTAAATCGCCAGAGATATCTTGTATGGATGTGATGTTAACATCATTTCTTAACGATGATTATTTTCATTTAATATATTTATTTAGAAAAACACGTTGATAAATTGTAGAAGTACTAATAATTGAATGAACCAATAGAATCGACTAATGTAAACTAAATCATCAATATGGAACTTTATAAAATAGTGGCTGTGACTAACTGTCTACAGTAACAAAGTAGATCAATTAGAAATGACCTGTAAGGATGATTATTCTCACAAACTGAGGCTTCAATTGTATGTCCTAATTTCAATTTCATTTCCAACTAGAGGGATTGGTGGTGCATCAAAAAAATAAATTAATATACCATGCAAATTAAAATTAAATAATATAGGATTTGATGCCGGATAGTATAATCTCTCTAGCTCATGCTTCCAATAAATTACGTACAAAGGAAGACTACCATAAATAAGTAAAATAAGCTTGTAGCGATCCTATCTATTGTCAGAGTTGATACTAAAAATGATGTGCAATCCAAAGTCTTGCATGTAATTTCAAAACCAGAAAACCAATCCCGAAGATAGACTGGTACACAATTATCTGAAGCAATTCAATTAATAAAACAAAATTTCCAATAGCAAAATATTTTAAACATTCGTGTACCAAACACCAAAATAATCATACCCAAAATTAACACTAATCTGGTTCTACATTCCAAGTTTAATGTAAAGCTCTCCAAATTAAGAAAGTTATTTTTATGTAATATCAGAGTGAGCCAGCACGTACAGATGGGTGCGCCTCTGAATGTCATTTTTAATTAACATTTTGAACATCTGTCAACTAGGATAAATGAGCCTGTATAATGACGTACTAATCTAGTACCTGCAAAATCAGTAGTCGCTTGTCATATTCTAAATTTTCATTAATCGCTCTTCTCGTTTAGCTATCTTTTTTTTTGTAAAGTCGTCACTCAAAAACTTGTATTCTCATAAAATCCACAACAGAAAAACGAAAAAACGAAGACGCGTCCAATATAAAAGTAAAAATAGAACTTTAAGCCATTAACAACGGTTGTTCATGTTTACGAACTTTGGTGAGAAAAAAAAAATAGTTTTGAATGTGATGTTCTAGAATTCTTTTTATGAATCTGAAGAAAACTGTAAAGATCGTTTGTTTGCTAAACATGCATTCCCTGCAGGGATAATAGAGAAATTTTATTGGCACAAAACTGATGACGTTTTTAACTTGAGAATGGTATTTACTGTTTCTGGAAACGTTAAAAGATGATTCTGGCCAGGCCTTTTGTTTATGTGGTTTCTTTATAAGATGAGAAAAATCTATTTGATAATCATAAGCTGGCGTAATAATTTGTTTTAGATCGTTTGTCGACGGGATATTCCAAGAAATATCCAAAATAGTATATTCTAATAATTAGCGTTTACGAGTGTAGTTGTTTGTTAATAGAGAATAGTTTATTCGAATAAAGTATCAGGTCTATAAATAAGAGTATTAACTTTAACGAGGTGGCAATATGTTTCTTCACTTAAAACGAGAGAAACAGAAGCCTATCTATGATATTACAGACCGTTTGCATATCGATCAATTGGTAAATTCCCTGAATTTTTTTTTAAAATTTTGAATCATTGAAAACTTCGTCCAATTATATAATATAAAGCAAATACTTGATAATGTGATTAAAAACGTGACGATGACAAATTACCTCAAATTGCATAAGTTTCATAAAACTAAAACATTGTTCTTAATTATGTTGCACTCACAATTTTGTAACTCACTAATATTAAAGCTTGTAGTCTATATAAAAAATTAATAGAGGAAAACCGAATAGTGTTATTCTGATATATTGTTAAAAAGTAGTTTATCCATTATGTAAAGTTAACTAATTGAAATGCATTACAAATATCTTGTTGTATGTAGTACCTCCATCTAACCATCTAACCAAATATTAACATTACAAAGTGACTCCAGAAACGAAAAATCGGTGTAACTTAGAAAAAATATTAAAATTATATATACACTGAATAATATATACGAGCACTGCGACCTTTTGGAAGCCAACTTTTCGAGAGCCTAGCTTGTGCACTGTAATGGTTTCATGCCATCATCCATTATAAACTGAACTGGAATAATATAAACTTCAATTCTTTTGTTTCTCAAAATTTCTAACGAACTTATGAAATTACTTAAATATGGACTCCCAAACAAATTATTTATTCACCCTTTTTGTCCTCAACGAATGTATTCTCTCTCAAATATGCGTCTCCACCGGATAGTAAGGATAGCATCTGAAATGTTAGAACTAGACTACCAGTTAGTATTGCAATAATTCCTGCAAAAATTTTTTGTGATAACATTAGACTTACACAATATAAAAAAGCACCACATATTAGCCATTGCTTTGAATACTCATTTGCTTGCCGACTGAGTTGAATGTTCCCAACTATAACATTAAGTACTTTTCTTAGTAAACGAAATGCTCCATAAATAAAGCATAGGACTAGAATGATGATTGTTGCAGGTAAAAATTCCATCGTATGCTAAATTGACGGAGTATTTTTAACGTTTGTAGAATAGTCCCTTACTTTATTGAATGTTCTTGTGAAAGATCAGTTAGTTTCAAAAGTTGTAATTGTATTTCATTATATGTCATATTTATAGAAGTATCTTTTTGCCTTCGTTGAGCGGATTTTTTTCTTTCTTCTTTCGCTTATTTGACACAATGAATGTTCCGTACAACCAACCGCCTTGAATTATACAATCGGCAGATTACTAAGATTATTGGTTGACTCAACAGAGAGGCTCCATCGCACGAATCAACAGAACGCCATCTATGTCGCATAAATAAAGGCTAATTTTCATTGATTTTTTTAAAAAAGTAGATTATTTTTGTTTAATAGTATTTAATCTACACAGTACGAACTAAAAAGAAACTGCTTTCTTAACATTTCTTGAATAATAAAGGGATGAGATGATTATTCCTTTCACAAAGCGTCCAGAAGCCTTTTTTTTAATAAATGATTAAAAAAAGATTATTTAGGTAAAGCTGCCATACAACTGTCATAGTCATCAACTCTGAAAGTTGATAAGAAACAATAATCACCGTCACAATCAGTAGAATTGTAACAGTTAGAAACATATGGAGATAATCTTTTGGCGTAACGTTCATAGAGCTGTCTAACATCCACAGAGTCCTTCACTTGTTCAGCAACTAAATGCCAGAAAGTACCATTTAGCGGAGAAGTGGCAGGCCATGACACATTATAAGCATTTCTAGCAGCATACTCATGTTTCCATTGTGGTTCGTGACCATTGTTAGTGTATGTCTCATTCAAAGGAGTATAGAAATTGTGCACATTCATAACAGAGAAAGTGGTCTTGTCGACTTCATAATATCTCCAGGATGGGTTAATACCACCCCATGGGGTGATAGATGGACCAATGAAAGCATTGTTGATGACATTGTTGATAGTTTTGGTGTCGTTACCTGAACCTGCATATAGGATTTGGAATTGATCTTCGTGTGTATGCCCAAAGAAAATACCTGCTATGGTAGAAGGAGAAAATCTTTCAATAATCTCCGCAAGGATATTGGCTGGTATTGGTAAACCAGCACTAGCAGGTGGAATATGTGCCGTAATCCATACTCTTTGATTTTTCGCTTCACTAGCCAGTAATTCTTCTATTAAAAATTCAAATTGACCAAAATTATCAGGTTGAGTAGCATTCAAATAAGAATAGGTATTTTTCAAGTACCATGTATTGGAATTTAAAGAAATAACCTTTAATCCAAGCCTAGTTTCAACTGCATATCCTGTGTAATGCTTTCTCGCATATTGAGCTGCTTCAGGTGTAACCCAACCATAGTCCTCCCAAATATCCGCCATGAGCTCTGCATTCCATGTGAATTTATTAGAGTAACTGTATTGTTCTGGGGCTAATTCAGCATAAGGAAATGTGTCATGGTTACCTAGAACAGGGAAAACAGGAATAGATCCCAATCTTGATTTTATATCCCTAAAGATATATTCTTCTGACTGGATAGTAGTTTCAAGGGATATACGTTCTGCAGCATCGTGGTCGACCATATCACCTGTAAAAAGTGAGAAATCAAAGGTAATATTTTGTTGATTCGTGTAGTTTATGACACTGTTTAAGGAAGCGTTGATTAAAAGTTCAGGGGAATCACACTCGTAATTACCAAAAGAGGTTGCTGGTGCAAAAATTGAAGAGTTATCAAAAACATTAATTAAATCACCTTTTGAAAATGAAAAATCTTCATTATATGACGAGTTAAAGAAAGAATTCCAGTAACCATTATAACTCGATGTTTCATTTTGCTTAACAGAGTTCTTAGAGAATGGAGTACAACAAATAGTATCAGTACAATTAGTTTCACTACCAACGCTATAATCTAGCTCAATATGTAGATCAGAGATATGTAGAACATTGAATGTACCATTCATACCCGGTTCAGGAGCAACCATATGCTGTGGACTCTTTGGTGGCCACATATGAGATACGGTGATGTTTGGAGTAGCAGGTTTTGGACAACTTTTGCTTTCTTTATAATAACAATATAATTGACCTTCATAGGCTAGTGGATTAATCTCGACTAACATATCCGCAAAATTTGCACCTTGACTACTATTGTAAACAGTAGAAAGACCATATTTTTCAATACAAGTAGATTTGCTTAATCCTTTAGCTTCCAAACACCATTTAGTGAATGCCGAGGAGACAAGATCTGGTCTTGTATTTGCTAGTGTCTTACCAATAAGTAACCTTTCGACACAACTATTGCATTTGTCATTACTCGATAGGGTTTGGTTCAATTGACTGACCACACTATTAATAACAGTGTCATCATTTTGTTTATTTTGGGAGTTCAACACACTGTCTAAGTTTTCTTCAGTGATACTATCCTGAGGAACCGAAAATACTAGAGAGCTGGAAGCCAATATTGTCAAAAAGAAGCTACGGAATATAATCATATTAAGATGGTTATTTTTTTAAGGTCTAATAAATAAAATAAATAATAAAGGTAGGATGAAATAACATTAAAGAAAATTAATACACTCATTTGTGCCTTTCTTATATATGTTTAAAAATATGCGCTGAATGTTCCATTTTAATGTTCAGTATATTAATCGAGATTGTTTATTTGCTTTGCTTCAGTTTCATATATGTATAGACGAGCCAAAAGGTAGAGTCTGTGAATCTGCTCTATTTTTATCATTATTGTCATAGTATGGGACAAGATTGATACAACAAATTCTCTTCTTTGCTCACTATTTTGTACTTCGCCTTAAAGTCAGAATAGGACTCTCAAATTTTCTATCTAAAAGTGGCTAGAGAGAATAACAAAAACTGAAGTCTCACGTGGGTCTGGAATCTTTCAAAACTTACAATAAAGTACTTTCTAATAACGTAAAATTAATTTTTATCAAAATGTAATTCTCAAGTACAATAGAAGACGATTTTCCCTATTGTTTTTGATGGCGAAATTATTTTACATCAACACACTGATATGATACTCGTGGCATATCCGAAATGGGAAACTATGACTATTATTCAGGAAGACGACTGGATTGAGTAAGAGATATATATGGTGAATGATGTTAGCTATATACCATTTGGTTGAAATACGACTAATGTGGTAAATATTTTATTCATCTACAAGATGATTCATCATTTATTTGTTAGAAGAAAAAAATATGAAGCATGCTAGAATACTGCTAGATGAAACACCGTTTGATAACATAAAGAGAAGTAAATAAATTATATAATGCAATAGCTCATATTTTCTTTAATTAATTGAAGTCACAGTACGAATATTTAGCATGTGCAGACCATATTCTTATTGTTACTATATTATATATTACCTGGTATGGTATATTTGAACTCAAATAGTGTGGTGTTCCTTGTGCATATTTAAGGTCAATACAATAGTAGTTTGAGTAGTTTATCTTTTTAGCTAGGCTAAATCCTCAGGACGTAGAAATTATTAACAAGATCTTAATAAAAAGCAAAGTAATGAAACCTATAAGACAAAATGTAAGTCGTTGATACTGAAAATAAAACGTGCTTGTTTTACTTGATATGAAAAGCAATAATTCCAGTATGACCAAGAAATTGACTCTATACCAATCATATTGAAGTAATATAGTTGGGTAACTCAAAATGTCATTATATAAGATTTTATGTATATCTTAATCATCGTTGTAAAGAAATCAAAAAAAATGTATCATATTTTCTTGAGTTCTAAATTTAAGAATATCTAAATATAGAGTTTATTATATATTTATATATCGTTCGTTAGTCTCTTATCCCAGAAAATTTATAAACAATTAAAACCACAGAATAAATTTCAAGCAGGAATATCCACTTTTTATTACAGAAGAAACACTTTTTACATCGAAACAGACCCATAATTTGATTCTGTGTTTTAAATTTACTACAACTTATTCACAAACAATTATTTGTTCTATTATTTG